CTCACCCTCATTCTCCTCCCACAATAATGTTTTTGCTATAATTCACTATATACAGACGTTATATATAAGTATCTACATGTTTTGTTCACCATAACTGTACATCTAAGCTTGTATGGTGAGTAAAGGCACAGAGATGTGGCTACTCACACAGTCAGCTGATCGGCGGCCGCCCTCAAGGCCAGACGCACTAATATTTGTCCTCCAACAATACTGTGTGGTGTTATTACGCTATATACACACATTATATATAAATATCTACCTGTTTTATTCATCATACTTGTACAAATAAACTGGTATGGTGCCCAAAGACCATCGTGGTAACCAGTAAACAACACCGTCGTCTGCACGGTGGCGTCGTGCAGACGACGCCACCGCCCTCACCAAAATGGCGGCTCCAAACCTTCTCTTGCTGTTTATACCCTCTATACGCACGTTATATATAAGTATCTACATTTGTGTTCACCATAGCGAACCACTAAGCTGGTATGGTGAGTGCAGTCAATAAAAGGTGGCCACACACAGTCAAAAGACATCGCCACCACCCTCCCTCCCACAGCATTACACCTCCTTCCATGGCGCACAGCGCTAAATATCACCACAATCCTGCTATTATCAGAACCCTGGTCAGTTTTATCACAGTCAGGGGTCTTCTGTAATAATATCATCGCTACATAATAGCATGAACAAGTATAATTTGGCATTTTTAGGCGATGCTGTGGTCACAAGCTGAACAGCAGTGCTGTTAGCTCATGCTGCGTGCGTCAGGCTTGGTTGCTCACTCAATACTGAGGCCAATAACACCCGGGAGTTTGGCCCACGATTTTTTTTTAAAATGGCGTCTGTTTACAAGAGCCCTGATGAAGGTGTGGTGAACCCCGTGTATCCGCGGGCTGTTTAAATCTTGCGTAGTACTCCAACACATCATATGACGTGATGCGCAGTTGACTGGAACAACGTCCAGCACGTCATATGACGTGATGCGCACTTTAAGGGTTAATGCATGAACACATGAGCCATTAATCACTAAGAACTCTATTGACCCAACCAGGATTCAAACCCTCCCCACTGGCCCGGATCATTACTTGGCATACAGAGTACCACATCATTGGTCTAGTGGTTATGGTACTCTGTATGCCCAGCGATGATCCTGGGCAGCGGGGGTTCGAATCCTGGTCGGGTCAGTAGAGTTCTTAGTGACGTATGGGTGGATGAGCAGACACCATGTGGTCATGCAAGAATCCACATGATCACAGAATCCACAGGTCAAGCTTGGCCTCGGGCCGGGCTTGGGGAGTAGAAGAACTCCCAGAACCCCATCAACCAGGTATCATGCTCCATGTCAAGTTACCGGATATGTTGTTGGATACACAAGACATATCGTGATCAGTTTCTCACCATATATATAATGCAGGAATATGTATAATGGAAGTCCAGATAAAGGAGTACACACTACACAAGAAACAAGCATTCTAAAGGAATTATCAACAACACTGATTTAAGAAAGTGTCAATAATAAAGGGCTTCAAATTTCATCACATATAATTATAATAAATAAAGCAATCACTTTAAGGAAGTGTCTTAAGGTTCCCTACATATTGCCAGAAAATACCTGTATAAGCACACACACATTTACATAATATAAAAGAACATCAAATTATCTCTATACTTTGCACAAAAATCATTTTAAAACATACTATTTCATGTTTGAACAAGTCATTCTTGCTCATTTCTGGGGGGGGGGGGGTGGAGCCCCCTGTGGCTCCCTGAATCTATAATGCTGATATAGTGAAAAACTATTAGGTGTCATCAGTTGCGGAGTTTTTATAGACCTACTGGGGGCCCGTAAGCCAAGTTTCCTCTACAGAGACACTGGCACTATGTTAATATTGTCTTTGTGTCTTCTGCAGGTGGTTTTCTGTTGAAGAACGTGGGGTTTCATCCCCTCCTTCCCTCCCTGTCAGAGTTTGATATGCATCCTCCTCCCCAGAGTTCACTTCAGGATGCCTTTGGGTTCCTCAGATTTGTCCTTCAGGAGGCTTCCATTCTCTCAACTTTTCCTGGTGGAGGCATGGGAAGCTTTCTGCGTGTACCTCCTTTGTGAGCCAGATTCTGCCTCGTTAATGACTTGGCCTCCTTTGAGTTTGGGACTTCTGGCTGCGTTGAGAGGTTCCAGTCTTCCTGGCTGGTTGACATCCTGCTTGCTTTAATGACGTGAGGCTTCTTGCGTGTTACACGTATTATGAGGGGGGTGCTTCCTTTGGGCCTCTTTTCACATGTCAATTTATTCCTGCTCTTCCTGGAGACACTGAGCTCCTACAGCTCCGTGCACATTTGTTGATTGTTGGCTGTGCTGGTTGCAGAGGACCTTCGTACCTGCTTGCACTGTTTTCCATGCAATTATTTAGCATGGGTGGAACACGAACAAGAGCACACAGATGGAAACTTAGCACCCAAATGAGCCACAGAGACATTAGAACAAAAAATTTCCATGTCAGAGTAGTTAACAAATGGAATGCATTAGGCAGTGATGTGGTGTTGGCAGACTCCATACACAGTTTCAAATGTAGTTTTGATAGAGCTCAATAGACTCAAGAAACTGTACACCAGTTAATTGACAGTCGAGAGGCAGGACCAAAGAGGAAAAGTTTAACCCCCAATAATCACCATTTCTATGGTAATCAGGTGGCTGGTCTAATTGGTGTCCCACCTGCAGTCCTCTTGGTGAGTATGAAGTCTTATGGCATGCTTTCTGCCATTTCATATCGCTTCATCGTTGCTCTTCAGTGATGGGACGGGTTATCCTGTCTTTTCTTTTCTTGGTTTTTTCTGGATCAGCATCTTTTGACAGATACTGTCACCTTATTTCATTCAGGGTTGGTGGAGCCACTTCGGCTTGCATTCGGGGTTGTTGCTTCTTCGGCCCTATTTCCCATGCATTCTCGGGCACAATTGACCTGCTGCCTGCTCATGCGCCGCGGAGTCTACTAGGTCTTTGGACCATGTTCTTTTCTTCTGTTCCTCTGCTAATTTTCCGGTGTCCCCTTCAATCCAGGACTGGTTTTTTTCAGTGTTGTCTGATTTCTCTTGCCTCTGGTCATCATGTCGGTGAGCTTCATGCTGTTCTTTGGTGCTGGTTTTTTTTTTGTTCTTTCGGCCCTAGGACAGGTTTGTTCGTTTGTAGCTGGCTCCTTTGCTGGTGAAGATTTAGATGGTTGGTTTCCAGTGAGGACCGTTGGTTGCTGATGCTTGGTTGGCCAGGGGTGCATCATATTTTGTGTCCAGTAGCAGCTCTTAGCCACTGCCTTCATGCCTCTGCATTGGTGGCGTTGTTGTGGGTTGCTCTGCTATCCCTGGTTCCTTGTTCCAGGTCTCGTTTTTCTTAAGTCGTCCACAGTGTCCTAAAATATTGCTAGCCTGTAGTCTGCCCTTGTGCCTATAATGTTCATCAGTATGCCACTCTGTTGGCTGTGTTTTTCCATTATGTCATGGGTTGATATCTAGGCATGGGGGTTTTTGGTGGTCATACAGGATCCTGGCGGCCAGGTTCATGTTCCTGTTCCTGGGTCCTTGTTGGCTTTGTGTGCCCTCAAGTCCTGCTGTGACCGGTGGTTTTTCTTCATTGTGGTACCTTTGATGCTCCTTCCTTCCTGGTACATCCCTATTCTTAACTTTCTCTGTAGTAGGTAGCCTTAGGGAGCCACCAGCATTGAATGTAATGAAATGCCAATTTCTGGGCGAGTCCTGGTGGCTCCCTGACACCCTCCCTATCCCAGGGAGTTGGGGGTGGTTTTTCTATCATCATAGAACTTCAGGTGGAGCAGCCGGCTGACACAGTCTGCCTCCTTCCTCCCACCAAACTCGGGGAAGAGGTGGGACGAATGAGCTTGCATTAGTTTCATGAATTTTCGATCACTTGTTTACATTGTTAGGAGAGTTCTTTTAGCGATTTTGAGATGTAGGTTTTCCTTCTAACCAGCAGTGATCTGTTTTGCTTTGCTGACTTTGTGGGTGTTTCCCTGGTGGTGGCAGACATGATTCAAATTCACTGACAATTTTATCATTGTGCCACTGCTCTCTGCGGCTCTCTAGAGAGGGTGCCATGTCCTGGCGCGTGGTCCCCAGTAGGCCTAAAAGAACTCTGCAACGGATGACACCTCGCAGTATGGCAGTATATAGCATTGTAGCTTCAGGAAGCCAATGGGATTCCCCCAGAAATTGCCATTTCATTACATTCAATGCTGATTTTTTGGCACTACTGCTAGGAGTGCCCCTTACATCTGTCACCAACACATAGCAGCATTTACAATATCCATGCACTTACTTCTTTTATATTCACAGGATCTGGTTAAGCATTATATGATTTAGAAACACTTTTTTAGGCTCAAAGACTAAGGTCCCCAATCATATCAACAGCCTGAATTTTTATGGGGTATCCTTGAATGCATTTAGCAATGACGGGATTATAATACTTCTAACAGATGAACACTAAACCCACACAAAATAAGCAATATAATACAGTAATATCAGCCTGGAAGCAAGGAATATGCAGAACAATTAGGTGTGACTAGGTCGGGGAAAGAGACATCAAATCATTATCATAAAGGCGATTATAGAGGTTTAGCGGAATACCTCGTCAAACAGGGTCATTTATGCACATTATATGAAGGCTTGGGATGCATTCCCACACTCACTGACAGTCACACACAAATAGGGATATATCTAAAAGTATTAGAAAGTTCGCTTTTACAAACAGAATGGTAGACAGTTGGAAGAAGTGAGAAGGCAATGGATGCCAACACTATCAGTAGTTTCAGAAGAGTCACATGACAAGAGTACTGGGTAGACGGGACACCATGAGGATAACTCTCATCCTGTAACTACACTCAGGTAATTACACACATTCGCACTCCTCCATATAACTCGCCCTACATTTTTATAAGCTTAAAGAGAGAGAAAATAAAGAGGGAAGTATACAACACAGACAACTGTGAAGCACTAACCTCTCCCCAGTGGATGTTAGGAGGAAGCTCTGGATATTTACGAAGCATATCGTATGCCACATTCTCCATAAACCACTGGAAGCTTTTGCACTTCAACTGCGTCTTTAGTTTCAGTTGTTCACCGATATCACCATGGTCGAGGAACCTTAAAACCAAATAAGTACAGTGCAATGAAGTGTATACAGTACTGTACTGACATTAAAAATCTAATGAACTAAATCTATACAGTACTTAAATCAGCATTTATTGTTTTATGCATTAATGGTAAATAAATATTAGTCATTTATAAATAAACTTGCACGTACTGGGACGTAAACCCAGTACAGTACGCCCAAACCTGTGCTATCTAAATACATGAGATCAGAAACTAGCCAATATGAGCTAAATTGGGAGATGACGAGTTCTCAGACAGGTCTATGGGTATGTTTTAGTACCATACTGTTTACCTTTCGTTAAGGCAATGTTGTTTTGAATTGCCTTATCATGACTGCCTACCCACTGCTTAGGGCCTAATAATTTTTAGATGCTAAAATAATTTTATAACTTTCAAACAAAGAAAAAACATTGAAAACACTAATTGATTGTTACCAAACATATCTACATATCTATCATATTTCCTTTTATAAGGATTAATATTGATAATCTCAGTCTTGGGAGTATCTATGACTCCGACATGCTCTCCTGCCTCTACGATGACTCTGAAATCTTGCTCTAGTTAGGCCGAGGTTGTCACAGGAAGCTACTAAACAGACTGCCCCAAAAAATCATCAAATAGTTATGCCACTTGGTTCATTAAGCAGTCTTCAACCGAAGACTGAAGATTTCCTTTTATAAGGATTAATATTGATAATCTCAGTCTTGGGAGTATCTATGACTCCGACATGCTCTCCTGCCTCTACGATGACTCTGAAATCTTGCTCTAGTTAGGCCGAGGTTGTCACAGGACGCTACTAAACAGACTGCCCCAAAAAATCATCAAATAGTTATGCCACTTGGTTCATTAAGCAGTCTTCAACCGAAACGCTACGCGTACTAGTGGCTGTACAAGAATGTAACAACTCTTGTATATATCTCAAAAAAAAAAAAAAAAAAAATTATTACAATTATCATCAATGCACTCATAAAAACGCGCTGTTCTAAATTTATACTCGTGTAATACTGCTGACCTCGCCAAAGGTTCACGTGTGTAGAAGTATTCTTTATATTTGTCATCAAACCAGGTCTCGATAACTCTCTTGTAGTTGATGGTAATAAGAGGACCTTTCTTCTGCTCAGCCAGTTTGCCAAAATTATACGGCATAAAGCCTCTGTAAACGTGTCCAACACGAGAACACGGTACCCACTCAATGCTGCCACCGCACTGCCATACCTGTTAGGAAAATAAAACCTTCAATTTTAGTTTCTTAACTCAAACTAGAGTTCAAAAACAATTAGCCAATTTAAGCATATAATGTACATATTTTGTAGATGGGAGCAGGGGAGGGGAGGGGGGGGGTTAAGGGAAAAGAAATAAAGAAAAAGAAGAGAGATGAAGATAGAGAGAGGAAGATAGAGAGGAATGTTGACATGACCACACACTAACAAACGTGACCTAACATAAGCTTACACTTCCATTTATCTTACTTTCTTTTTCCTTTTTCTTCTTTTTTTCTGTTTCTTTCCATTATTTTCTCTTATGATCTCTTGCTTATTCATACTATTTCCCCTTCTTATTCCTTTTACTATCCCCTTCTTATTGGGTGGTATAACTAGGAGCTGCTTCGTATGGGCTAATGTACCTTCTGCAGTTACCTTTGTTCTTATGTTCTTATTTTTCTTATTCTTACTATTCCCTTTATTACACCTTATCTTCCCTACCTTTGCCTTAGCTTTCTTCCTCTAAGATTTTCTTCTCACCTCTCTTCTGCCTGTTTATTGCTTTCTCCTTCAATCATCACAATCGACTTGAGAATGGTCCAGGACGGACCGAAACGTCGTCGTCCCTTCACTTTCTAGTGTGTTGTCTGGTCGACATTTTTCAGCCACGTTATTGTGACTCCTCGTCTGCATAGAGAGGAATGGTTGGTGGAGGATGAGGGCCGAGGTGGGGAAAATGTTGTAGGACCGAAACGTCGTCGTCCCTTCACTTTCTAGTGTGTTGTCTGGTCGACATTTTTCAGCCACGTTATTGTGACTCCTCGTCTGCATAGAGAGGAATGGTTGGTGGAGGATGAGGGCCGAGGTGGGGAAAATGTTGTAGGACCGAAACGTCGTCGTCCCTTCACTTTCTAGTGTGTTGTCTGGTCGACATTTTTCAGCCACGTTATTGTGACTCCTCGTCTGCATAGAGAGGAATGGTTGGTGGAGGATGAGGGCCGAGGTGGGGAAAATGTTGTAGGACCGAAACGTCGTCGTCCCTTCACTTTCTAGTGTGTTGTCTGGTCGACATTTTTCAGCCACGTTATTGTGACTCCTCGTCTGCATAGAGAGGAATGGTTGGTGGAGGATGAGGGGCCGAGGTGGGGAAAATGTTGTAGGCATTGGGGAGGGAGAGGGGGAGCAGCATTTTAGAGAAAGACGAAGCAAAACTCAATCTGGGAGGAAGGGAGAGGTGCGTCTGAATGAAATGAAATCCCACATGGAACACACCAGCCCTGCTCCATTTAATTCAATTGTGTGAGGTCCTACTGTGCAGCACAGTACACAGACACGCACAGGTACCACACCAGGTGCTAATAAATCATGAGTGCCTACTAGAGACCAGGATGAGAATCAGGCACACGCAATAGAGAAATAGGGGAGGTTATCTTGAGGTTATCTTGAGATGATTTCGGGGCTTTTTAGTGTCCCTGCGGCCCGGTCCTCAACCAGGCCTCCACCCCCAGGAAGCAGCCCGTGACAGCTGACTAACACCCAGGTACCTATTTTCCTGCTATGTAACAGAAGCATATGGTGAAAGAAACTCTGCCCATTGTTTCTCGCCAGCGCCTGGGATCGAACCCATGACCACAGGATCACAAGCCCAGCGTGCTGTCCGCTCGGCCGACCGGCTCCCCACCGGGGAGTGGGAATATAAAATCACAACATTACCTATGGAAAAACCACTAGGAAGGGAGAACACACCATAACACCACTTAGACAATATTTGCAACCCCAATTCAAACGAAGTACATATTCCTTGTCTTGGTCCAACTGCTAGTTAGCTCCACACCTTAGCCACTAGATGGCAGCCCTAGCGACTCGAGGGCCCAAGGCAGCTACATTCATGCACCACCATCCAAGCAAGGCTCCCTGAACACCACAGGAAGGAAAAGGCAGAAATGGCAAGATGCAGCTGTGACCCACTAGAAACAATCATTTTATTACATTCAACGCTGGAGTTCTGGAAGTGAGTGGTGCTAACTAGCACTTAGACTTAGACAATGATGTACACATAGTTCAAGTAAACATTACAAGTGCTGTCCAAGCAATTGTTTGATTTCATAGTCTCTACCTCTCTGGTGGCATTTCCATTTGTATATTGTGGTGATCTTGTGACCCCACTACCTTATGCCACTATCGCAGCCAGATTCTGGTCCTGGTCTTCAGTAGGCATTTGTTATTTATTAGAGCCTGAGTTGGTACCTGGGCTTGGAGGACTCCAAGTATGTAGCTCAGGGAGATACCGAGGGAAGCCCCTCTCAGAAACAAATGTGTCAAAATAAAAAAAAAAAAAAATCCTGAATATGATCAATGTTTTAGTGATTGCCTTCATGACAAAGGGAGCCACATGGTGTGCATAGAGCTTACCACCTTTCTGTTTAGGATATACAAAAGGATATACACACTCGTGTCAACTCTAGCAGCAGACATGAGTCGAAATTTCACTCTATCAAGTGTGAGTGGTTCCTCAATGCCACAACATCAGCTGCGTGGCTAGCTAGCTCATTCAGAGCATACATGGATATGAAACAACTGCTCAATCATGCTAGTACATCTAGGCAAGTTCTGCTTCCCCAAGCCACTTATTTAACTGTGCCAGCTTGTGCTAATTAATGGATTGATAAGGGAAGGAGGAAACAGTCACATATTTGATCTTAACTATTAGTGTCTTCAGTGACTCAGTGTCTTCTGAGGAAGCTTCCTTGTATTTCCTGGAAGCTATCTCCATGATATTGCTCCATCTACTGTAATGGGTCACATCAGTCACCGGAGTTCGACTTGGCTTACCAAGGACCAGAGCCAGAACCTGGCCCTCATTCTGGCTATGGTCCAGAATCTGTCACAGAGACGCAAAAAGCAAGTGATAATCTGCCACCCCACTGGGAAAAGCATCCAGAAAGTCAGCAAAGCTTTATAGACAACTGGAGGTCTCACAGAAAACGAAGCCTTGAAACTGCCAAACAACTCTGCAAACAATTCACACAAAACAATAAATTTGTACAAAACTAACTCGATCCCATTAGTACAGATGGCCACAGCCAGGCAGCCTGGCCCTAGCTGGCTCCCCTGCTCAGTTCTGTCACTGAAGTTTTAGTGGTTACTTCTACCTATTGTGCTCTGGTCTGTCAGTCATGGCGAGCCCCTCTGCTTCAAAACTAAGTGCTGGCTATCCTTGGACTTCATTTGTTCTGTGGGGACCATTTGTTTGGATTTTGTTCCTTTGTTTTAGTATTAGCTTAATGTGTATTATATCTGGCTTTGTTGTATTGGCTTGGCTTCTGTTGCTCTGAGATGTATGTGCTCTGGGTTTTCTTCCCTGGGTGCTCACTAGTACTGAGCACTAGTTGTACTGAGAGTTCTTTCTCAGTTGTGTTCTAGAGTTCACCTGAGAGGCCAGGCCACCGGGGTGGAGAGCCTCAACCTAGGGCTGTTCAAGAGTCTCAGAGTCCTTTGATTGGGGCCTTTGGCTGGGGTTGTTCTGTTAGGTTGTGTTTGTGGTTCAATGGGCTTCGCGCCCTTTTTTATATGGCATGCTAAGGTTCTCATAGTCTGGAGTATTGGCTGTATTTGGGGTCTGTTCTTTTAGTGAGCAGTCCCAGTGCCTGGGGTGTCCTGTTTGGCTAGTTACATTCAGGCCCTGGCAATTCCCATGTAGGTCTTTGGCGTGATCAGCCCAATCAGCCTGCACTCACTTGTGTGAACTCGACGGTTGTTCATCATTCCTGCTAATGGGTAACAATCATTCTATCTGCCCCCACTATCCTGATTACTGGGTCGATAACATGAATGACCCCAAGTCCAGCGAGGTTTGTCCTCACTGGGTCTCTGCTTTGATTGAATCAGCTTTGAGGTTGGAAGTTTATCAGGAAGTTGCCACTTTATGGGCTCAATTTGCTCATGTTAGGCATTTGTAGGACCCAGATTTGGAGTTATTGGTGACCTCCACCCGGACTAAGTTCACACCTTCCCTGCTGATCTACAGCATGGCTCGTAATGGACCAACCCATCAAGATAACTCTCTCTCTGCATGCGAGTATGAAGGGTGTTCATCGGCTTTGCTACATGCAGTTAATCATTCTGTCTCTACCATACAGCCTGTTGGGTCAGTAACGTCTTCAACCCCTGAGCCCTGTGACATGTGTGCTCACTGGGTCACTATCTTATCAAAGCCTGCCTCGAGATAAGAGGCTTTTCAGACAGCTGCTGCTTTGTAGGCTCAATTTTTTCCTTTCGTGGTTTAGAGTATGGTGCCTGTTTGGATGCCCTGGAGTTGGTCCCTATGGTGTTTAAGGATCCAGGTTTTCAGAAGAATTGGTGATCCCTACCTGGTGTAAGTTTGATCCTCCTCCTCTTGCTTAATTAACCTGCTGGTGTGGTGCACCCATTGTCTGATTCAGACATCTGAGAGTTTCAAAGTCAGGTCAGGGCTTAGATTTGAGTGGAGTTTGGCCAACTATAGGGGTTGCCCCATTCACTTCAACAACAGAAACAGTTGAGTCATTCCTTCATGCCGGGGACACGGTTCTGGGCCTGGGTCATCATTGCTGGGGGTCCTGGGCTGGGGACAAGGGGATGAATTGAAGAGTGTACATTGGTGCTGTTCAACCATTCATGGACTATGATTCCATTTGATCAATGTATGTTACGAGTCCTGCGCGCTATCCACCAGGCTACGAGACCCCCTAAGATGGCTGAAGAATGTTGACCAAAACACACATTAGGAGGTGAAAAGATGACGACGTTTCGGTCCGTCCTGGATCATTATCACCTCAGATAGAATCGTGCAGTTCTATTAGTTATCTATGATTCCATTTGATCAATGTTTCTCCAGGGGAAACTTCTGTCCACCTGCAGGCGATGAGTCACAATAACGTGGCTGAAGTATGTTGACCAGACCACACACTAGAAATTGAAGGGACGACGACGTTTCGGTCCGTCCTGGACCATTCTCAAGTCGATTTTGTCCACCTCAATCACTGTCCACCTCTTTTTATGAGCTTGATTACTCAGCTGCTTGCCCTGGGTGCTCTTTTGTGTACCGTTTGGTTCCACTCCCTCTGCAAAAGTCATTTATATAAAGTTAAACAATTGGTCCTAGGACAGAGTCCTGTAGAACACCACTTTCTATTCCTCTCCAGCCTATCATATCCACTCTGACTAACACTTTTCCTGTCTGTCAAGTACTCCTGTACCCAGCCCAGTGCCTTTCCTCTTATCCCCGCTTACCTTTCCATCTTGTGTATTAGTCTTTTGTGAGGAACGGCATCAAAAGCTCTTTGGCAGTCTAGGAAAATGCAGTCTACCCATCTTTTCTTTATTTTATTTTGGTGACTGTCATAGAATTCAATCAACTTTGTTAAACATGATTTTTCCCGTTTTGAGGCCATGTTGAGCCTCTGTTGTAAAAACTTACTCACCAAACATTCTACAATCCTTTTTCTGGTGACTTTTTCTTGCATGGAATGCATGTTAATCATACTAGTCAATCGTTTAATACTTCATGTCTGTTCCTTTCCTTGAATATTTTAACTACATTTGCCTTTTTCTAAATTGCTGGTAGCTCTCCCATCTCATGTGTAATGTTGAACACTATAGTTAATGGATAACACAGGATCCTTGCAGGGTCCTTCAGTAACAATGGTGATATCTGGTCTGGTCCTTTATATTCTGGCTTGGGGATTATCGAGATCTAACAGGGTCTTGGCTCACTATCTGATCAATATTTTTCATCTCATTTGGGCTCGAGTTACCCTGAGCCAAGGGCCAGATTCACGAAGCAGTTACGCAAGTACTTTCGAACATGTACATCGTTCCTCAATCTTTGATGGCTTTGGTTACATTTATTAAACAGTTTACAAGCATGAAAAACTTGCCAATCACTGTTGTTATTGTTATACATAGCCTCCTGGTGCTTCGGAGCTCATTAACTGTTTAATAACTATAAACAAAGTCGCCAAAGATTGAGAAAAGATGGACAGGTTCGTAAGTGCTTGGGTGATTGCTTCATGAATCTGGCCCCTGGTTTCTTAGACCGGAGTTTCATCTTCAGCAGTGTAGCTGCCACCTCTCCTTCTTCCTGGCAAGTCCTATGTTTAATTCTTCTCTTTTGTTAATTAGCTTCAGGGAGTGAGCAAGGGGCTACACTGGGAAAACAAGCCCTGAATGTAACAAAATGCTCTGTTTGGGCGAGCCCCTGTGGCTCCCTGACTTCCTTCTCCCTACCAAATACGTTGGTTCGTGGCCTGTCAGCTCTGGCCTCAGCGGTTGCTGGCCTTGTAGCTTAGAACCCCAGGATGCTACCTGTTTGCATCCTTGTGCATTAAGCATTTTGTACCCAGTTTCAAGTTTCATTTTGTTCTGAGTGGATCCTTTGCAGTGTTTTGGATGTTTCTGAGCAGATCATATGCAGTGTTTTGGATGTTTCTGAGCAGATCATATGCAGTGTTTTGGATGTTTCTGAGCTTCATTTTCATGAATCGTGCAGTTCTATGCATCTCTTTTTCTAGTTGCTTTCCCAGTGAAGACCATCATAATCCCCTGCGCCTTGTGCCTCTTTGAGGGGGGGGGGCTAGGTTCTGGCTCTGGTCCCCCAGCAGGCCAGCAGGATGCCTATGACTGTTGTGACTTAGTATTGAGAAGTTATCTTGACAACATAGCTTCAGGGAGCCAAATCTCTTTAAATGATCACTGCTTTACAACTTTACAAAAAACAACATGGTATCTAAAACATATAAACCATACAAACTTAACAAATTTTAAATGAGAAAGCCGGTTAAAACTTCTCTAATATCTTCTTGTACATATAAAAAAAAAAGAATTACCTTAAATGACAACTCAAAATTTTCTCCTCCCCAAACCAAGAGTCCCGGGTCATAGGCGCCAAGACTCAAGAAGTATTCACGGTTGATGGCAAACAAACCCCCCGCATGGGTTGGAGATCTGAAATAAAGAAACGTTCTTAAAAGATATTTCAAATGGAAAAATATATGTACACCTAACATTACACAGAATGTTTTAATAATAAACCACAATCTCGTCTCTTCACTATTGAGGTGATAATGATCCAGGACGGACCGAAACGTCGTCATCTTTTCACCTCCTAATGTGTGTTTTGGTCAACATTCTTCAGCCATCTTAGGGGGCCTCGTAGCCTGGTGGATAGCGCGCAGGACTCGTAATTCTGTGGCGCGGGTTCGATTCCCGCACGAGGCAGAAACAAATGGGCAAAGTTCCTTTCACCCTGAATGCCCCTGTTACCTAGCAGTAAATAGGTACCTGGGAGTTAAGTCAGCTGCTTCCTGGGGGTGGAGGCCTGGTCGAGGACCGGGCCGCGGGGACACTAAAGCCCCGAAATCATCTCAAGATAAGAAGATCTTACTGTGCCTCAACATCTGCAATAAACCACATATGTAACCACCATAAAAAACCCCACATGGTAAGAAACTACAACAAAAACCGAACAGAGAGGTAGAAAACTCCCTACAATCCAAGGAAACAAGCAAACAAGCAAACATCACACTTTCTGCCGCGCCGATCGTCCGCGCAGCCCTCCCCACCCCGGGAGGGGGAGGGGGGAGCCCCGGACCTACCGCGCCGGCTGCCAAGCTCCAGTTCGGAAGCTAAGCCTCAACCAACGCGAAAAAAAAAACCGCCGACCGGAGGGAGGGAGGGTTGCCAGGGAGCCTCCGGGGCTCACCCAGAAAATGGCGTTTCATTACATTCAACGCTGGTTTTCTGTGGGGAGCCCCTACGGCTCCCTGGAGCTTCATACCCAAAGAGAAGGAAAAGAAAGGGCTAACCCGGGAGGCGGCCGCCACAAACTCTGCAACGCAAAGCCAAGACAACCGGTCGCAAACCTGCGACCCAAGGCAACAAGAACGCCCAAGAACAGACATACACATGGATGGGCGGCCAAAAACCTGTGCGACCCACAATTCCCTGCGCCCGAAATGAGCCCGAGACGTCACCAACACAGCAGCAATTGCTGCAAACGTCTGAACAGCACGGGCGCAAAGACAGACCGCAGTAAGAAGGAAAACACTGCGGACGACCCGGGAGAACACAGGACGCACCCCCCGGCCAAACCAAACAAGTACTAATACCCCAAGAACCCCTCCGGAAAGCAGCCGTCTCGACCGTCGCCAGGACAGAGAAAGGCTGCACACCAATAAAGCTACCACCAGTACCAAAGAGGAGGAAACTAAAACCGAAGGGGCTACCACAAACTGAGGGGAAGAGAAGAAGGCACCTGAACAAGGACCAGGATGGCTCGGGCGACTCATGAGCAGGCCGGGGGGGAAACAAAACGCGAGAAGACGTAAGAAACGTCATACAGTCTCCAAGACGAAGCTCGCAGGTGGGACACCGTCAACAAAACCACCTGAACACCATAGAGATGGCGATACCTGCGTCAAAATACCAGACGCGAAGAGCCAAAGAGAAGGCCGAACCAGTCACGGACAGGACCGATTCGGCCTGCTGAAAGAGGCGAAGCCTCAGGAAAAACGCCCCGGGTACGGACACCTATCAAGCAGCGTCTGAAAAGAAGGCCGGGCCGGCCACAGTGGAACCATAAGGACTGTTCTCGTGGGAATGGGCTGCAACTGAGCCAGAACCCGAAGCAACAGCTGGACCGGGAGAAGAGGTACCGGTACCCCCCACCTCGACCAGGCCTGCCGAAAACCTCCACCGTGAAGTCCTCGCAGGTGGGAAGGGCGCCACAAAACGGGCGACGCCTAGACCACGCCGACCCGAAGACGTCCATGGCCAGGAGTCCATAAGCCCAACAGAGCCAACAAAACGAATCGGCGACGACTGGCCAACCCACGAAGAGGAATGAACCGAGACAGCTGTCCACCAGGACGCAGGACACACCCCGGACACGAACCACACGGTTAACCAAACCCCCTGTGGTTCCGGCAAGAACCACCAGAGAACAGTCCAAACAGAGCCGAATGGGAGAGTACCTAGTGACCCAAACCCTCCGAAGCGCAAACCAGACAGCCATGAACACCTGAACCGGGCTGTGAGCCCGATGGACAGACAGACTCCATCAACCTCGGCCGACCTGGTGAGCACTGGTCACAAAGCCCCAGCCGAGAGACGACCCGTCCGTGAACACATCGAGCGAAGGCTCGGGGAGCCGCCAAGGCACGGAACCCCGAAAACCCCAAAGAGGAAGCTGGTGACGCAGCACCAACACCAGATCCCCAGAGGAACCCAAGGAATGCAAGAGGCGGAAGTGGAGTCTCCGTAGGAACCAACCGACGCCGGAGCCAAACCCGACTCCGCGGGCAGATAAGCACGCCGAAGTGCAAACTCCCGCACAACCGCCCAAGCAACCGCTGAGCAACCCGGGACCCCCTCCTGAACAGCCAAAGGCGGGACCACAGCCACAGCAACACTTCTGGAGGGAAGACAATGAGGGGCCAAGAGCCAGAAACAAGGCCCAGGTCCGAACCCGGGACGGAAACAGAAGGTAAAACCTCCAGATCACCAGGAAACCAAACCCAGCGATCTGGAAAGAACCATCCCCTGGCGAGCAGACAAGCGGACTGACTGGGAGCCCACTCCAGCCAGTCGTCGAGGTAGGCCAGACACCGAATCTCAGACGCAGACAGGGCACTAAGATCCGGTAAAGATGCAAAGAGTATACAAAGTGCCCTTCACAAAATAGGGAATGCAATAAAAACAGCAAACCTGAAGCCCCACCATCAAAGCATTGTATGACAACCATATGAAGACATTATGACATATGACAATCATTATATGACAATATGACAAGTATAATCAAGGCATTATATGACAAAGAGTGCCGGGAAGAGGGGACACCACGAGAGTAGGCCACATCCTGTAACTACACAGAGGTAAGTACACATAGGGAATTACCAACCGTGCTAGCCCCAGAAAAACTGGAGAGGAACGTGCCAAGAAGTGACCTGGAGGTCCAGGTCCACCATCCATGCACCCGGCCCTAACAGAATCCGAACAGGAGACAACAGTCCTCCGAGCAGGGCAGAGGATCCAGGGCGCAGACGGAAGTAGTCCAGAAGAACTGCAGACTGGAAAAACTCATGACTGCAAAGAGCAGACGGGAAAAGCTCATGACTGCAAAGAGCAGACGGGAAGCCCAGAAGGATGGGGCGGATCGACCACGCCCCACGCACCCACGAAGAGGAAATGACGAAGCGCAGGGAAGAAGCCACCCCGCCAGCTCTGAACCCCCCCCAAGGGGGAGAAGCCGTCCTCCGACGCCAGCAGAGGCCGGAAGACAACCCAAAGCGCCCACCAACAGCGGGACCAAGCGAGAGGCAACAGAGCAAGCTGCTCCCCCAGCGCCCAGTCAACAGAGAAGGGAACAGAACCCCTTCAGAAAGAAAAAGTACACTACCGAAGTCATGAGGAGAGACTACGGGAATGAAACCACACTTCGCTGGAAGAGGAAGTGAGGTGAGACCTGATCACCACATACAAGATACCCAAGGAAATCGACAGGGTTGAGAAGGACAGGCTATGTAACACAAGGGGCACACGCACTAGGGGACACAGGTGGAAACTGAGTACCCAAAAGAGCCACAGATAGATTTTTTTTTTTTTTTTTTTTTTTTTTTTTTTTTTTTTTTTTTTTAGAATGGGAACGGGAAAGCACTAAGAAGTAATGTGGCGACTCCTCACACAAGGAACGAGGCTGACCCCCATACAATGTCACATGTAGACATGACAGAGCCCAAGAGGCACAGGAACCGATACACCTGTCGACGGACGGTTGAGAGGCAGGACCAAGGAGCCAGAGCTCAACCCCCACAAGCACAACTAGGTGAGGACATACATTGTAAAAGCACAAGCCGCCGACTAGTGGCAAAGAGCACTACGCCGGCCAGGCAAAGAAGGCACAAAACTGCATCAAAAGGCCCACCTCGACAGCAAAACCACAAAGTCCCAGCACAACCACAACATGTGCCAAGACCCAAAAAGCTCAGTCTGCAAGCCAGGAAGACCCCGGAACCCCAAAAGGCAGAACCGGGTCACACGAGGAAACAAAGTCCCCTGAACCCACAAAAGGGGGCCCAAGAGGAAGAAACCTCCAGAACGAAACCAAGGAACCCAAAGGAACCCAGAATCGAACCAGGGGGAGCCCAAACCACCACATTTGCCGGCGGAGAACACCACTAAAAGGCAAAGCACAGACCCCAGCAGAACGCCCTGGGAAAACGGTCCCAACAGACCGAAAACCGAGGGGCAAGGTGTGGGAGCAAGCATACCAGCCAGGGGCACTGAGCCTAAACCCAGAGGCTCAGACCCAAAATCAACACCCAAACGTTCCCAGAGGAACAGGCAACGGCAAGAAAACACCAGAAAAACAAAGAAACGACAACAGGAGAACAAAAACCCTGCAAATTTTTTGAAAACTCACCAGAGACGCTCGCTCGCACACCCAGACGCATGTAAACAAACGGCAACGCCGCCCTGGTGGCCACGCCGGGAAACCGGCAGACGAAAATGGCCGCCAGCAGGGGCTGTGACTGACGCTTAATACACAAAAACACGCCAGCAAATGTGGGAAGCTAGCAGACTGGAAGGGCGAAAAACGACGCCCAACAGCAGAAAAACCCCTGAAGGGGCAAAACCGCCCCAGAACTGCTAGTAGGCATCCCCCACAGCCCCGGGAACCAACAACAGAGGCCCCGGGGCAGAGCCGTCCTCCAAGCCCTCCGCCCTGAAAGAAAAGCAAGAGCCCATGGGGAAGGCAACAAGAAAGGGCCGCTGGTAAGACCCAGAAGCCTTGGCAGGAGGCACAGGCTCAAACCTCCGTCCCCAACCCGAACGGGGCATCCCCCGAAAACCGCCCGAGTCTCTGCCGCAACTGAACCCCGCCCCGACCCAGAAACACGCAGACGGTCCGGAGCCGGGAACATGGAGAGAAAGGGGCGAGCAGCACCTAACCAAACGGGGCGGCCACGGGGCATTCGAGTGGGAAACCAACCTAGCATGTTGCAGCAACCTAACCTAGCTTGCAACACGGATGCCGCCTGTACTCTGAACAGTAATAACATCAGGAGAGTACTGGAGAACAAGCAGAGAATCACTCGCAAGACTCCGGGTCAAGGTGTCAGTGACCCAACAGGCAGCATGACGGAGGTAAAAATGGCGACTGTCACCCGGAGACAAGGGAACAGCAACCAACGATCCCGTACAAGACGGGTTGGAACCCGGAAGACACATTCAATGGTCCCCCGAGCCCAGACAGGGGTTTCCAGGGCCCGTAGGGTAACAACTACGGGAAGCCCGGGCAAGGTGTTGCTAACCGGTTAAGAAACCCAAACATAACAAGAGGGTAGATTATAGCACTGAAAACCCCCGAGACGTGTACAAGCACGGGGGCCTAGCAGAGGGCCGCCAAACACTACCAGTGGAACTATAACCACCTTAGGCAGACCCCCACCAGGCAAGAAAAAGAAAAACAAAAGAAAAACCCCGCAAAAGTACACCGTCTCCAGAGGCAACAGAAACCGGCCGCCGCTTAGGTGGCAGGCTGCGCAACACCTTGACGCCCTAACCAGCACAATACCAATCCCTACCCAGGGCCAAACAAGGGCCCCAAGCCCCAGCTGGCCCCAAGGGCGAGGCAAATGCCGAGCAGCAAGAACCTCTACGGGAATGGTTCCCGAACGCCCCAGGGAAGATAACCCTGTAACGCAAGGGCAGTACTCACAGGGCGCTTAGGGAAGTCAGCCACTAAGCACATGCAGCCCCGGCACTGATGAAGTACTCCTGGCCACCGCACACCACAACACACGGCAGTGAACGCCACACAAGGCAAACACCGCCTAGGAAACTGAGGCCAGAGAAGCGTCAATCCCGGTTGACATTAGCGAACGAACTGGAGCTTGGCAGCCGGCGCGGTAGGTCCGGGGCTCCCCCTCCCCCTCCCGGGGTGGGGAGGGCTGCGCGGACGATCGGCGCGGCAGTAAAGTGTGATGTTTGCTTGTTTGCTTGTTTCCTTGGGATTGTAGGGAGTTTTCTACCTCTCTGTTCGGTTTTTGTTGTAGTTTCTTACCATGTGGGGTTTGTTTTGTTACGCCTACCTTTCTGGGTGCCTAACCCCGGTCGATGGCAGATAAGGAAAACCCCCAACCATATGGGGTTTTCCAGGGCCATTGCTCCCTGAAACCTCTCTGAAGGGGCCAGGTTCTGGCGCTGGTCCCTGGTAGGTCTGAACTCCTTAGCTAATGTCCCGGTCTAACATAACACACATTAGCCCGATAAGCTCCAGGGAGCCGTAGGGGCTCCCCACAGAAAAATATATGTAACCACTGGAAAATATACATAGCTTGACTTTTTTTAAATAATTACCTTACCTACCATACCTCGATATTTATAAATATAAATATCGATGATAAAAGAGAGCATACTATGTCAAGACAGCACTCGGTGCATAATCTAGGGTTACTGTCACTAATCATTTAAAGTAGATATGGTTTGATTGTACAAGAGCATCCCCAAGCCTCAGTATCTCAGGATATGAACACAATGTCGTGAGTATAAGCTGGTGCCTCAGTATCTCAGGATATGAACACAATATCATGAGTATAAGCTGGTGCCTCAGTATCTCAGGATATGAACACAATATCATGAGTATAAGCTGGTGCCTCAGTATCTCAGGATATGAACACAATATCATGAGTATAAGCTGGTGCCTCAGTATCTCAGGATATGAACACAATATCATGAGTATAAGCTGGTGCCTCAGTATCTCAGGATATGAACATGATGATGTCATCATGAGTACAAGCTTGTGTAGCACATACAGACTTGAGTAATAAATACCAGCTGGAATTATTAATAAAGGAGGCAATAATTAGCAGGGGAGTGCATTAATGAATAATTACCAGGTTTAGTATTGATGGTGGTTCCTCTTCCTTTTGCAGGTTTTATAATATGTGGCCTCAAGAAATACAACTATGGTGTTTGCCGCATTACCTGGATCATACCTGGAGAGGGGCTCAAGAGTTTTTCTACTCCAGGCTGGGCTGGACTTGTGGTAACTTGGTCCAACAGGCTGTTGCTTGCAGCTGCCGTAGGCCCACATATCCATTACAGCCTGGTTGGTCCAGTACTTCTTGCAAGACCTTATCTAACTGGTTCTTGAAGTCTACCTTTGTCCCGGCAATATTTCTAATGCTTGCTTGGAGAGTATTGAACAGCTGTGGACCTCTGATGTTCAGACAGTGTTCTCTCTGATTGTGCCTATGGCACCTCTACTCTTCACTGGTTCTATCTCGCCTTTCCTTCCCTACCTTTCGCTCCATTATGTTGATATTCTACTATGCAAATTTGGAACTTGGCCTTCCAGTATCTTCCGAGTATATATTATTTGATACCTCTCTCGTCTCCTTTTCAGAGAGTACATTTTGAGAGCTTTGAGATGGTTATCTTGATTATCTTGAGGTTATCTTGAGATGATTTCGGGGCTTTTAGTGTCCCTGCGGTCCGGTCCTCGACCAGGCCTCCACCGCCAGGAAGCAGCCTGTGACAGCTGACTAACACCCAGGTACCTATTTTACTGCTAGGTAACAGGGGCATAGGGTGAAAGAAACTCTGCCCATTGTTTCTCGCCGGCGCCTGGGATCGACCCCGGGACCACAGGATCACGAGTCCAGCGTGCTGTCTGCTCGGCCGACCGGCTCCAATGGTCCCAGTAGTTTAGGTGGTTTATCGTGTCTATGCGTGCTGTGTATGTTCTCTGTATTCCCTCTATTTCAGAGGGAATACAGAGGGAATAAATATCCATTCTGCTCTCCATATTTTATCACCCACTTAGGAATCTTACCTTTAAGTGTTTTGGTAGTGATGCGGTGGTGGGAGTGAGAGCTTTAGCTCACTTAGCTGTACTTGCAGTGGATGAGCTACAGCTCTTAGCTCACTCAATAATCACTCACAACTGATTATGAGCTGAAATAATCAGCTCACAACTGATTATTTCTTCATTGTACATAAAGATCAGATCAAGTTTATTTTCATTTCTAGTTGGCTCCCATATCTGTTAATCACAGGAAAAAATTATAGCAAAATTCAAAGATCTCTGACCTGTGTTTGCTTAATTCCAGTTTGATTTCCTGTTATAATGTCTTATCCTCCATCTTCAACTGGGGTAGATGAAAGTCTTTATTAAAGATAATACCCAGCACAGGACTGATTAAATTTTTTAGAATCTGATTTCTGAACTCAACCGATGCATCTGGAGGTTTGTATATTAAAATAACAAGGTTTTTGCTCTCTACCTTGATTCAAAGTACTGTACCTCCACCACATCCTTTGTGACATTTAGGAGCTTTGTGCATTCTTTCTCAATATTCCTGCTCAGTATACAGACCTACTCATCTACTTGCTACAACATTTATGCATATAAAATATATTTTGGTACTCAGACTTCACTGTTCATATAACCTCAAATACAAGTTCCTTAGAATGCGCCAAACATTATATTCACACAACAAGAAGCAAAATATCAGAAAGGAAAGGTACAAAGTGGGTGGAACTAAACACAATCGTGAAATACAAATGGTACAAAAACAAAGCAATAGTCCCTCATGGAGCTACTGTACTGGAGTTCCATGAGGGACCGGCCAACACTACTCTGCTGAAAGAAAGAGTAGCTCATAGATACCAGCGGAGAGGTGCGCTCTTAACTGCACCAGGTGAACAAGATGGGTTGTTGGCTGGGACCCGGGGTGCCCTAGCTGTCATCTGGTGGCAGTTGGGCACATCACGGTTAGTGTTGCTTTTCTCTCGCACCAACGATCATTTGTTTTGTATGCCTCAGATTGTTTTTGTTTTCCTTTTATAACAGTTTGCTTTATTTTACCAAATTTTTCTGGGTTTTCCTGGTTTTGGATCGAACTCCGATCCCGATGCTCCCCCTAGCCTTGTTAAAAGTCAGATTCTGGTCCTGGCTCCTGACAGGTCAATGTGAGTCTATGAAGCTTGGTTCACTTATTGAAGCTGGACAATTGGTGGTCCCTGGCCACCGAAGCCATGGCGCGCAGATAACGGTGGAGAGCCACAACCAGACACAACACATGATGCATCCCCGGCCTGATCAACCAAACATTCGACTGGTGTATGCACTACAGGTAACTACTGAGAGCACCTTCTGGAAAATAGAATCATCATCAACTAAACTAATATATGTACACAATAACGAGGAGAAGTTCTTACTTGTATGGCTCACTTTTGTGGATTCGTTTGCGCTCCATCTCCACTGGTAGTTCAGTTTCCTTGTAAAGCATTCCCCACTCAAAGATGCCTCGGAAGTTACTGCCAGCACCATACACAGGTCGGTACTCGAATGTGTTATGATCTATACCATCAATGACTGGTACGGTCATAGTATGTCTGAAAGGAAAATCACACATTAGATCCTTTCAATTTATGAGCAAAGACACTAATACAGAGCTTTGACTTTACACAGGAACAAGCCCCTGGAGACATTGTAGAAAAACCAACATTACAGTAAACAATTTGATGACCTTGATAAGCTTAATTGTGAATGAAGGAAATGTTTAAGACGTATTTTGGGTGTTCATCCTCGCACCCATTACAATCTCTTACCTGGCCTGATGTCTACATCTACACTTGAGGTAATAACTCACAAATAAATTATATCATTTTGACTGAAAGGAATCACCCAACCAATAAACTCAACTTTTTATTTTTATGCACTCACTTATCAATGGCCACTCCTACTTTTCCAAAAGTATAAACTTAATTGTTAGGAAATACATGTTGACCAGACCACACACGAAAAGGTGAAGAAGACCACACACATATTGACTGGAGAATGGTCCAGGATGGACCGAAACGTCGTCGTCCCTTCACCTTCTAGTGTGTGGTCTGGTCAACATACTTTAGCCACGTTATTGTGACTCATCGCCTGCATAAGGAAATACATGTTAAGTATGCATAATATTCTTAATGGTGTATAGATAGTGTACAGGACAGGATAACAGAACTTGTCAGCAGGGAGAGCAGGAAGACCCCCAGCTGGATATTTGCAATGATAAAGGCCATAAGGTCACAGAAAGATGGATTACCGGCAGATATTTTGAGTCCAACTTGAGTCAAATCAATGTTATATGAGCTGTGTGTGTTTGAAGTGATTTCGAGTCAGGATAGGCTCGGATGTAGATTGCCAAGGGTATGCAAAGATATACAATGTCATGGCATGATTCATTTATATTAGTTCTACTGCTAATTGTCTCGTCATCCTAATTTTGTGATAAATTGTCTTTACAATATATCAAATACTTAGCTACATATCACTCGTCTAAAATTGTCTAAAATGTCTAAAATTTTAATTTTGATTTAAATTGCTATACACCTGTTTAGTGTAGCCATCATTGAAATGATTTGTATATGTTGTTACCCATTAAGTTTTTGATTTGAATTCGAAAAAGGAGTCAGGTGTGGAGGGTGGATTTGTTATTATAGCGAGACCTTACATAGAGAACACCAACACAAAACAGCTGTAAACCCCCATAACATAACATATATCCAAGATATATAGTAAAAATAATCATTTATGAAGTGTACACCAGAAACACACATTATTCGTCAACATTTTAGTCTTATCTACTACAACTTTATAGCTACCTACTCAATATATATCTCAAATACTGTTGCACTCATATTTTAGCTCTTCCTGAGCATTTAAAAATGGCACAAAAACAGCTTTCAGTAAGTTCTCTGATACTGTTCTTGTTGTTTTAGATTCAGCTCGGAACAAAAGTCCCAAGTAGCACGGGCTATGGTGAGCCCGTCGTGGACTTACCTGGCACAGGAGCGGGGCAAGTAGCACGGGCTATGGTGAGCCCGTCGTGGACTTACCTGGCACAGGAGCGGGGCAAGTAGCACGGGCTATGGTGAGCCCGTCGTGGACTTACCTGGCACAGGAGCGGGGCAAGTAGCACGGGCTATGGTGAGCCCGTCGTGGACTTACCTGGCACAGGAGCGGGGCAAGTAGCACGGGCTATGGTGAGCCCGTCGTGGACTTACCTGGCACAGGAGCGGGGCAAGTAACACGGGCTATGGTGAGCCCGTCGTGGACTTACCTGGCACAGGAGCGGGGCAAGTAGCACGGGCTATGGTGAGCCCGTCGTGGACTTACCTGGCACAGGAGCGGGGCAAGTAGCACGGGCTATGGTGAGCCCGTCGTGGACTTACCTGGCACAGGAGCGGGGCAAGTAGCACGGGCTATGGTGAGCCCGTCGTGGACTTACCTGGCACAGGAGCGGGGCAAGTAGCACGGGCTATGGTGAGCCTGTAGTGGACTTACCTGGCACAGGAGCGGGGCAAGTAGCACGGGCTATGGTGAGCCTGTAGTGGACTTACCTGGCACAGGAGCGGGGCAAGTAGCACGGGCTATGGTGAGCCTGTAGTGGACTTACCTGGCACAGTAACAGGGCTGTAAATGTTCTTTGATACTTATTTATTCATTTATGTGTTCAATTTTTCAAGTTTCCTCCTTTCCTTTCAGCACACAACAAATCATTGGATCCTTTGTAACCAGAAAATAAATTCTTACTTGTCTCTGTAAATTGGTGCTAATAGTGGTGGTAGCCAGTTCTTGTTGACTTCACAGTGTGCATCCAAGAAGAGCACCACCTCTCCTCTCGCTTCTTCAGCTCCCGTCGTACGTGTGCGAATAAGTCCAGCACGCTCCTTGTTGCGTATTAACCGCACCTTTCCATTCCATCTTGCTATGTAATCTTCTAGAGGCTCTTTTAATGATGCTGCAAAAATTTGTGTTGTGAGCAGCATTATAATGTATATAAATAATATGAGCATGATTATAAAATGATCAAGAGTTTATTGAGAACTGCCAAAATCTTAACTAAAAATCAACTTCAGAGGTACTCGCTGATGGAGTGTGCCGATGGAGACCAAATTTCAATCAATTGTTGTGCAGTTTCAGAAGCCCTTTAGACACCTGGTCCATCCAATTAAACAAATCCAAACAAAGCTTCCCAGTCATTTACAATGATGGAAAAAGAATTAAAATAAAACATAGAATGTTTTAATACAGAATATTCTAAGGCACCAAATGGGACTCAGAATCGAACCTAAAGGGAACAGCCAAGTGATTATACTCATGCATGGATGGGGGATGAGAGAAATTCTTCCCACAAGGAAAAGATCCTCCATAGAGGGAGCCAAGGTCAAAGTAGGGTTAAAGGGCATCCAAGGACATTCCTCTGGTTCTCCTCCCACACCATTTCTGAACCCTGCCATAAAGGCTCCGAAGTAGAGGCATAGTCCTCGCCCAGTGGTTGAGATAGAAAAGCATCCTCCCAAGGAGAAGGTTCAGAGTGGAGAGGCAGTTGTGAAGGCAAAAACCCCTCAACTGGGGAGGGATTAGAAGGCGCAACTTCCTCTGATGAGGAAGTGGCCACCTCAGAGAAGGTCGCACTACACCCCAAGCGACCTAACTCATCTCCAAAACCCTTGGGCATTTTGGAGCTGGAACCAGGAGGGAGGAAGACTAGAAGCAGGGCAAACCACACCTGCAAAAGAAAGGAAGAGGAGGCACAGACTTAATGGAGTTGGAAGTAACTAACAGCCAAAAGCAGTTCATGCGTCTCCCTCCCTAACTACCCGGCTCCCTACCCAGGTAGTCAGGCCTCTCAGGGGCAAACTCTTGCACACACATCCAAGAAGTAACTATCAGTGCAAGGGTAGTGCTGGTGCACACCCAGGAAAGGAAACCCTGAGCACATGTAGCGTAGGGAGCCGGTCGGCCGAGCGGACAGCACACTGGACTTGTGATCCTGTGGTCCCGGGTTCGATCCCGGGCGCCGGCGAGAAACAATGAGCAGAGTTTCTTTCACCCTATGCCCCTGTTACCTAGCAGTAAAATAGGTACCTGGGTGTTAGTCAGCTGTCACGGGCTGCTTCCTGGGGGTGGAGGCCTGGTCGAGGACCAGGCCGCGGGGACACTAAAGCCCCGAAATCATCTCAAGATAACCTCAAGATAAAATCCAACAGAAGCCAAGTTCACATAACAATGTCGGATGAAGAACATGTATCTTGAGATTATCTTGAGATTATCTTGAGATGATTTCGGGGCTTTAGTGTCCCCGCGGCCCGGTCTTCGACCAGGCCTCCACCCCCAGGAAGCAGCCCGTGACAGCTGACTAACACCCAGGTACCTATTTACTGCTAGGTAACAGGGGCATAGGGTGAAAGAAACTCTGCCCAATGTTTCTCGCCGGCGCCTGGGATCGAACCCAGGACCACAGGATCACAAGTCCCGCGTGCTGTCCGCTCGGCCGACCGGCTCCCGTCAATGTACATGTACATGTCAATACCAAAATAAAAGAACAAACCACAACCAAATGACCTCCCACAGGGTGACATCCAAGGATGACCAGCAGTTAGCTTATAGACAGAGGGGCATGCCATGAGCTGATGGAACTGGAGCTTTATAGGTAGTACAGGGAGCCGGTCGGCCGAGCGGACAGCACGCTGGAGCTGTGATCCTGTGGTCCTGGGTTCGATCCCAGACGCCGGTGAGAAACAATGAGCAGAGTTTCTTTCACCCTATGCCCCTGTTACCTAGCAGTAAAATAGGTACCTGGGTGTTAGTCAGCTGTCACGGGCTGCTTCCTGGGGGTGGAGGCCTGGTCGAGGACCGGGCCGCGGGGACACTAAAAAGCCCCGAAATCATCTCAAGATAACCTCATCTCAAGAAGATAGTAGTAACGACCACCACATCAGAAACAGAACTGTTCAGAGGAGCCAGCTGCAGGCTGGTGTTGGGCCACCTGGTGGCATCCATCAGTATCAACAGATTCGCGCTAATTTTGAGTAAATCTATTGTTTTGTTGAATCATTTGTAGAGTTGTTCGGTAGTCTTGAGGTTTCATTTTCTGTGATCTTACAGTTTATCTGTAATGTTTTGCGAACTTTCTGGATGCTCTTCCCATCTGCCACTCGCTCCCTGTGCCTCGATAAGAAGGTCAGGTTAGGCTCTGGTACCTGGAAGGTCAAGCAGAACTCCTGGCACCAATGTGACCCATTAGAACGGCACAATCTAGGCGAGATAACTTCAGGGAGCCATAGTGAGGGAAACTAGAAAGACAAAGTATTCATAACCCACAATGATCAATTGCACATGGCTATTTGAGCACAAGAGTCAATCAGATAGCATTTGGAGCCTTTAAGAATTAATTAATTCCAAAAGGCTATTATCAGTATGGTTAAAAAATTAATGCAGCCATAAAAAATCTAAACAGCACTGAATATAAACAAACATACCAAAACTATATGATATCAGCCAGATAAGAGATAAGAATACCTAATAATAAGAGCACCTTTATTGCTGAAGTCATCTACTAGCAGCACTTCCTTCAAGAACTGAGGAGGAGAGCGGTCAATAACACTGTGAACTGTGCGCATCAGAGTCGAGAAACCCTCGTTGTGGAACACAATCACCACAGTCGTCGTTGGCAGGTCCTCTGGATACTCCCAGTGACTGCACCTGAAACATCATAACAACATTATTTATTATCAACTTGAGCCAGAATAATTAGAAACAATGCAGTTAATATTACACACTTTTTATTGTGAAGGAAATACAAAGGGACTATGCAGGCGATGAGTCACAATAACGTGGCTAAAGTATGTTGACCAGACCACACACTAGAAGGTGAAGGGGAGACGACGTTTCAGTCCGTCCTGGACCAACTTGAGAATGGTCCAGGACGGACCGAAACGTCGTCGTCCCTTCACCTTCTAGTGAAGGTAAAGGGACGATCCACTTTCAATATCTGATAAAGCATCAGTCTGGAGCAAATATGGGAGCAAATACAAAAGAAGAATAATGATGCAACAAACGTCCATTTCCCATACCTCTGTCCTACATACTGTACAGATAAAACCATCATTCTCATGTCTCGGGACACCACCACTTTTACAAAACCAGATGTAAATTGCTTCCCTGGAGCTATCATTTGAAAAATGTCAGACAAATTCCTACCTAAAAGCCAATCTATCTTGCCATATTTTCTTCCAGTTCTTGTGTGGTGTTCACACAATCTCCACTTCCTCACACACTCATCATATCAACCCATCATCATCATCTCTCTTTATACAGATGATAATGAGTGTGTCACTCATTCTAAATGGGTAAACAATTAGATCTGACCAGTAACTGGATAGGTGACTGCATGGGCAGCCTCCCTTCCTTAACTAGAGACCTTCATGAACCTAACAGGCTTTCTCTCAACAGAATTATACGTCAGTACCAGGCAATGATATATCATTACCAGACAATGGTACACCAGATAATAGTACTGTATACTGATACAAGACAATGGTATACCAATACCAGACAATGGTATACCAATACCAGACAATGGTATACCAATACCAGACAATGGTATACCAATACCAGACAATGACAAAATCATTGGAGCATGTGGGGGCACAACAATCCACGTCACAACTACCAAATTGACAGCTCTACCTTACAACAGACAGATGAAGAAAAGGACCTTGGGGGCAGAATCCATCATTCGCTAAAAGTTGTACAATAAAATAAATAAAATAAAAATAAAATGTTTATTTAGGTAAGGTACACGTTGACTTATAGGTAGAGCTAGTACATACAATGCCTAAAGCCACTATTACGCAAAGCGTTTCGGGCATGTTATATGCCCGAAATGCCCGATTTCGGGCATGTTATACTATAATAAGTGGGAGCGGCAGTAAAAAGAGCAAACCAAACCCTGGGAATAATCAAGCGTACCTTTACCTTTAAGGAAAAGAAAGTAGTCGTTCAACTGTATAAGTCTCTGGTGCACCCCCACCTGGATTATTGCTTCCAGGTACAGTAGTATAGAGACGTCATCTTCAGAAAGACATAGCTGCTCTGGAGAAGGTGCAACACCAGGCAACAAACAATCATACCAGAGCTTAGTCATCTCTCGTATCAGGAACGGTTGAGGGCCACAGGGCTAACAACACTGCAAACCAGGCATGACAGGGCAGATCTCACCGAAACCTTTAAAATACCGAACATTTTGGAGGATGTTGATCCTGACAACTTCTTCAAAAGATCAGATGTAACACAAATGAGGAGCAATGGGTTCAAGCTCAGCAAACCACAATGTAGGACAGAAAACAGGAGATGCCTTTCACCCAGAGGGGTTGTAAACCAGTGGAACCGCCTACTCGCCGAAGCAGTAAACGCCAAAACTCTGCCGAGTTTTAAAATACAGGTGGAAAAGATCATCAAGGCAAATGGGGGGACCTTTGACAAGCTGCTGACTTCCTGTCCTCGTCGAGGCCACTAGTATTGGTGGCCCTCAGGTAAATTCAGGTAAATACTAGATAATGATACACTGTATACTAATACCAGACAATGAGAAAATCATTGGAGCAGTACACGAGATCAATGCGTGCCTTACCCCAGGACCACGACTGCATAAAAGATTATGCAGCCAGGGATTCCACGCACGAGTCTGAAGGCACCAAACTGGTAGCCAACCCATGCTTTACGTATAATCCACACGCATTCTGGTGTAGGAAATGGAGTTCTCCACCAATTGCGTTCCTTCAAATACATAAGGAAGTCACACATTAATGTGACTTTTATCACATTATCTTGAGAAAATAATATGATATTTATCTCGTGATATCTTGGAGAAAATCATTGGAGTAGTGTGGGGATGGAACCAGCATCCTGGACACTCTCGGGACACTGGTTCCAACTCCCGTACAGCTCCAATGATTCTCACAGCTGTATCATAGATGCAACCCCAAATGTTGCCTTAGTGCTCACTTGTGATCTCAAGGGGGAGCTGCAGAATTTTATACTTTATAAAATGGTTCAATTTCTTGTCATTATGTGATGTAAAGACCTCCCAAGCATTTCCTAACATCTTATGTGACAGTCCACAAATATCGGTGAGGCAGTGGAGCAATGTAACTGTGCAGGCAATGAGTCACAATAACGTGACTGAAGTATGTTGACCAATCCACACACTAGAAAATGAAGGGACGACGACATTTCGGTCCGTCCGGGACCATTCTCAAGTCGATCCACAATTTACCACAATCGACTTGAGAGGGGTCCTAGGACGGACCGAAACGTCGTCGTCCCTTCCTTTTCTGGTGTGTGGTCTGGTCATCAATGTAACCGTGTTCCAGTTCAAGAGCACTAAGGTACTCAAATTTAAGCTGCAGTAGGATGCTCTGCTTAGATGAGTGCTTTTAAATTACCCAATACATGCTTTTTTACACATTGTTTTAAGATAAATTTTGTTTTCTTCTCAAATCATGCCAGGTTTTACTTCAGCATATTTCCAAAACTCTTGTATTTGTTACTCTTAACAAGTGAAACATTCGCAAACATTTTGATTCAAACAACCAATTTTATAATATTTTCATTAATTGTTTGTTATTTGTACAATTTTAACTCTACCATCAAACATTTCCTACATCCAGCACAAATACCGATGAACCAACATTTTTTGAAAGCTAAAGCAAATGACTGTACTGTACCGCAATATTGTACTAACTCAGAATGTCTAGTGTCTGGAATAGATCGGTCCATAGCGATCTCGTCAGACACCACCATGTTGATGCCATACTCGCTGACTGACTGTGTTCCTTCGTTCTGTTTATTTGGAGGCAAATAATATGCCTTGCCATCTTCCCCGGCGCCACTCCTCGCTGGAATCTCCGCCGGCTCAAAGTTACCCACTTTGTCCTCAAGGTATACAACATTCTGCTTGACTTTACTCTGTAAGAATAACAAAAAAAATATATTTTATATGTATGTAATATACACAGTATGCATACTGTATGTGCATTGTTACTTCGTTATATGTTTTCATGTTGCTCTTTAGCCCCCCTTAAAGTTAACTAGATATGTATCTATCACAAGGGAGATCAAGACAAGAATCCCTGCACTAGCATAGCTCCGGGACTGAAGAAGGTGGTGCGACAAGCACATGCGGCGAAATCATTAGAGGTTGGTGTCATTTTCACAGACAGGTGTGATGAGTGCAAGCTACGAGATGAACGTGACTGCACTTGTGGTTGGGGGGGGGGGGGGGGTGGCAGAGCTTATCTAACAGTGACTAAAGGGAAGTAAAGGTCTAGTTCTTCTTGACCTGCCTACTACCCTCGTTGCACCAGTTGTATTTTGTTTTAACTTTCCTTATGTTTGAATACTTTTTTTTTATATTTGGCCTTAAGGTTGTGGATGGAGGTAGCTTTCATGACAACTAAGTGCATTCCACTGAGTGACTACCTGTACAGGGCATTAGTATTTCCAAACAGTTGAAAGTAGGACAATTTGTCCTACTTTCTCTCAATTTAATAAGGCTGTCCGTATCCACTTTACCCATGCAGCTACTGGTAATGTAAAACAGTACATGCCCCAAGAACCCCCAGCTTGGGAGCCGGTCGGCCGAGCGGACAGTACGCTGGACTTGTGATCCTGTGGTCCCGGGTTCGATCCCAGGCGCCGGCGAGAAACAATGGGCAGAGTTTCTTTCACCCTATGCCCCTGTTACCTAGCAGTAAAATAGGTACCTGGGTGTTAGTCAGCTGTCACGGGCTGTTTCCTGGGGGTGGAGGCCTGGTCGAGGACCGGGCCGCGGGGACACTAAAAAGCCCCGAAATCATCTCAAGATAACCTCAAGAAGAAGATAGCTAGAGTGTAAGACCCCCAACACACATCAGGAGCAAGGCCAAGCACAACAGGCAGGTATTTTATGTGCATAAAATCCTTTCTGTCGAGTTTTAGGTGGTTCTTTGATCCCAAGCTCCGCTGGCCTTGTAGAACCAGATTCTGGTTGAGGCTCCAGGTAGGCAAGGGCGAGTCTCAAAGGTCTGGTACTTAGTGATACCAGCATTTAAGCATGGAGGCTGCTGATGAGGGCCCCTTCCACAAAATGTTTTGCCTTCCTTGGGCTTGACAAAACATGGTGTACTTGGCATACAAAAAAAACAATTTATTGAGCTGGTACTATAATTTTACAATTTGTCCAAGTATTTCATAACTATGTACTGGACGGTACTGTAATTCTGCAAATAAATTTATTAATTACAATCAATCCAGTATTACTCCTAAATCCATTATTACTCCTACATTATTATAATTTATTAGTGTAGAGTACCAGTAATACAAGGGAAGCGCTGCTACTGACCATGAGAGCACCAGCTGACCTAATGGAAACTCCATGAGGGGTATTAGCCCCCAAAAGCAGCAGTAACACTACAACAGCTGCCACTCCCAAGGCCACCTTCAAGGTCCGACCACGACGAAGTTGTAAGATACGCATCTTCACGCCACTTAATATTATTCCATTACCGTGACTGAAATGAGAAAAATATGCATTTAGAGAAACTGTAAATAGTAAAATACTTGCAATAATAAAAAGTGATTCTTTACACTGGCATTTCTCTATTAAAAGTCCTTTCAATGTATATAATTTTTAATTATATTACTGTGACTGAAATGAGAAAAATATGCATTTAGAAACTATATACATAGTAAAATACTTGCAATAATAAAAAGTGATTCTTTACACTGGCATTTCTCTATTAAAGTCCTTTCAATGTATATAATTTTTAATTATATTTTGTGACCAGTTTTAGGACCAATTTTTAATTTGCAGTTACATCACTTAAATTCAATTTAGGCTCTTGTTTTTAAATATAAATAGGCAAAATGAGCCGAATTTGATAAAGCCGATGCTGATGAATTGCTCAAGTGCCATAGAGGCCCTTATAACCCAATGACCTGCTGCATCTGCAACCACCACCAAAAAAGATGAAGAAACTATCAGGGTAAAAGTGCCAAGCCATTATGACTATATAGCACTTGAAAGGGGTCAAGATGAAGGGTTTGGGATGGGATAGGGAGGAAGGAATGGTGCCCAACCACTTGGATATTCGGGGATTAAACGCCACCCTGCATGAAGCGAGACCGTCGCTCTACCCTCAACCCCAAGTGGAGGGTAGATCCACGGTATACTGCTCTACTGCAGTATACCAGTATACCAAATACCATTGTCTGGTATTGGTATTCCATTGTGGCTCCCTGTTGCTAGCTGCACTGAGACTGATCAACACCAAGTCGCATCAACACTTTAAGTCTTTGAAAGCCTATCGGGGATAAGATGCCAAGACACGGTCCCTTCAAAGAGGCGCAGAGAATACATAGCCACCCTCACCGAGTAATCAAAGGGGCGCAGAGAATACATAGCCACCCTCACCGAGTAATCAAAGGGGCGCAGAGAATACATAGCCACCCTCACCGAGTAATCAAAGGGGCGCAGAGAATACATGGCCACCCTTGCCGAGTAATCAAGCTGCTAGAAAGAAGCTTTACTTCTTTCTCCTCCTACTCTATTGGCCAATAGATTAGAATCACACGTCACTGATATTTAGAAACTACTGTTTAAATGAAATTACCATATTTGTTATGCTGTAATGTACCTATTAATGTTACATATTAGATATTTAACGATTCTTATTGACTAAATTTCTTTTCACCAGCTAATTTTTCAGTACAGTAGTAGAGTTGGGTTCAGTCTCAACTTGCAGCTGGGAATCCAGGGTTCAAATCCCAGGTGGGACAGAAATGGGCCGAGGCACAAGCAGTGGGCCGAGGCAGAAGCAGAGGGCCAGGGCAGAGCAGAGGGCCGAGGCAGAACAGAGGGCTGAAGCAGAGCAGAGGGCCGAGACAGAGCAGAGGGCCGAGACAGAGCAGAGGGCAGAGGCAGAATCAGAGGGCCAGGGCAGAATCAGAGGGCCCGAGGCAGAGCAGAGGGCCAGGGCAGAATCAGAGGGCCAGGGCAGAATCAGAGGGCCAGGGCAGAAGCAGAGGGCCAGGGCAGAGCAGAGGGCCAAGGCAGAGCAGAGGGCCAGGGCAGAAGCAGAGGGGCCGAGGCAGAATCAGAGGGCCAGGGCAGAATCAGAGGGCCCAGGCAGAGCAGAGGGCCAAGGCAGAGCAGAGGGCCAGGGCAGAAGCAGAGAGCCAGGGCAGAAGCAGAGGGGCCGAGGCAGCATCAGAGGGCCGGAGCAGAAGCAGAGGGCCAGGGCACAGGCAGAGGGCCAAGGTAGAGGGCCCCAAGCAGAAGACCCAGAGAGACAGCCAAACAGAGGGCCCCAAACAGAGGACCCAGACAGAGGGGCCCAAACAGAGAGCCCAGGATAGACCTAGGACAGTAGTGAAGCTGGTGAGAGCGCCCCCACACACACACACACCTGCCACCTGTGCCAGTTACAGCAAGTGGCCACACCTGCCTCGACCACAACTAACATTACCAGGCATCAATGTGTCATAAATGATAAAGAAAACAGAGAGAGAGACACAAAGAGAGAGAGAGAAGACAGAAGGAGAAGACTTACAGAAACCAGACGCCAGGAGCCGGCAGATCTCTCTCTCTCTCGCCTCAACAACAACAAATACTTGACGTGGAAATTTTAATGTTTACTAACTACTTTTCCAGGTTACATATCCATTATTTAATACATATTTTACACATATTTTGGATTATTATCTACAAGTTTGGCCTCAACAAAACACTTTTCCTAATTTTTTATATCTTTTTTTCTAAAATTTATACAAGTTAACTATCCAGTCTCTTTTTTATGACATACTTCACTTTTATGTGAGCAGTTTATAACGCTCGTGTATGACAGTGAAGCCGAGCTATATGATCATATATTTTATATATATATATATATATAGAAGTTTGTGAGGGTACCACCTCTGGTGCCAATGTGGGGACCCATAGCCTCGGAGAAGAAAATAAAAAGTATTCAGAGGAGACCTTGTGGTCTCTCACTGAACACTAATATTATCCTCTCCTACCACCCCCATTCTTTTGTATGTACACATATATATTTACTTTATTTGAACTTTGTTACAAAAAGAGGAGTTACATATGGGTTACAAAGATGGTTGTCATAGGTTGTCGAGTTCCTCCAGCTCCTCAGATGGCGGGCAGGAACCCTGGATGCAGTGCGCATTTCCCCTCTGTATCGCCACACTGAGGCGCTGGAAAAGAAAGCTTGCAGCTCTCGGGTCCCTTGTTGTTTCAATGAGCCTAGAACCCAGTTCCTTCAAAAAACTGGTAGCACTTTTACCCCAGGCGCCGAGCGTCTCAGAAGCAATGGGGACAAAATTGTAGTGGTGATCCAGTTCTCTATGCTTACGGGATTTGGCTGCTTCCCTGTGGGTGGCAGCGCCACCTGGTTGTGCAACACTGAGGTTAATGTAGGTGTTAGCCAGGGTTGATACGCACGTGTAGTCCCATACCAACTGCTTGCCATTCTTCCAGGGGTTCACTGTGATACCATCCGGGCGACCAATAAGAGCATCAGAGTTACGGGGCGTTAGGTAACGGGGCTCTCTTTCAGCTGGGCATCCAGCTGTAGTGAGGCTCCTCTTGATGATGTCGTTAACTTCACTGTGCCTCGAGTGCCATCCCCCTGTGCTTTGGCAGAGTAGGCCATGGTGACCGTACCTGTCAGCCACCACCTCGCCGCAAATACACCTATATCTGGTGTGGATTGGGGCAGCAAGGCGGAGGGCCACAGCAATTCGGAGGGCGTGTGGTGTGAGACGCGTGCCAGTTGCCGACATTGGGGTTGCTAACAGGAAATCCCCTGCATGTGGTGCTGCTACTGCTGTGAGGCGAGCAATGTCGTGTTGTGTTGTTGCAGCACCCAGGCACTCTGCAGCAACTTGGTCTACAATGGGACCATCCCAGCTGGATTGCTTGTGGGATTTTGGGGATGGTGGTTGAGGTGATTGGCCTGCACGAGAGGCTCACTCTGTGGCACAGCGTGTAAAATTGGGATCATGTACACCTGCCAGCTGATGTAAGTGGGCAGGTAGAATTTCCTTCACAAGGTCGTCGGATGCTGATAAGGAGGACAGGAAGGCTGGAACAGCGATTTGCGTTGCTGTTCGAACTCCGAGGCCCCCAAGTCTTACGGGAAGAGAGGCTTGTTTCCACTGTAGGTCATCGAGAGAGAGGTTAAGGGCTTTTTCTAGCATTGATTTCAGTAACCGGTCATACTCACTTAGTTTTTGGCTACTGTAAGATGGTGAACACCTCAGAAAGTAGGTTAACCTGGGGAGGGACAGACATCTGGTGATGAGGTAGAGTGCATCATGAGCATCAATATCCTCAATCCTCCCATCCATCCTCTTAAGGTCGGCGATTTTCTTATCAAGGACCTCATCGATGGCTTTCAACCCCAGGGGAGCTCCTAGGAGTGTGCTGTCTTCAGGTTTAGTTGTATGGATATTTGGCAGAAGACCCTCTATTCTCTCTACGATGCCCTGGTTGGAACATATTATTTCACATTTAGAAAGGTTCAGGGTGAGGCCTACAACTGCACCTTGCTCCTGGATTTTTCTGATGTCCTCCAGGAGGGAGTCTTGGGAACCATCTAGGGTACCATCATCTAAGAACCAGATGTTAAGCTCGCTGGACAGGACCTCTGTGACTTGTTTGATGACTAAGCAGAAAAGGAGAGGAGCAAGGGGGTCACCCTGTTGGACGCCTTCGCGCGAGTCAATTTCATGTTCGCCAAAAAGTAGCTTAAGATCCATACTGTAGCATGAATCTACAAAAGGGTAGAGGGAAGGGAAATGACTATGAACCGCACGGAGTACCGCATCCCTCCGCACCAAATTGAAGGCATTTTGGAAATCTAGCTTGATAAGGGCCTTTTCGTCTGTGATGTTGGCGATGAAGGCTCGAGCTGCATGGGCTGCCGCCTCACACCCTTGTGGAATGCCAAACCCGAGCTGTTTTGGCTTCAGCATGTTGGCCGCTGCATCACTAACTGTTCTTGTAGCTGCCTTTGCGACGAGACGCCGGAGAGAATTACCCACAGCTATTGGCCTGATCCCTCCATCCTTTTTCTTTAGAGCACAGAGAGATGCTCCAAAAAAGATAGGTCTTATGGACGCTGGTATGTTGCCAGCTAGACATGTGTTGGTGAATCTGGTTAGTTCCACCAAGAGGTTCTTTGCAATGTCACCCAGTGCAGGGTTGAGCATTTGCTTGAGGTGGTTGGGTTTTAGTCCTGTGAACCCACCTGCTGATCCTGTAGGGAAGGACATGGCTGCTTTATGGACCACAGATTCAGCCACCCAGAGAGGTTCTGCTCCGGTAGCCCCCACTTGTACAATGTCGTCCTCACGCGGAGCCCTGGGTGAGTGTTTCTCCCTTAGGGCTTGAGCTGTTGCGGCATCTCTGTCGGCAATTGAGTCCTCACTGGTGATGACTCTTATTGCGCCAATAGTGTTTCCTTCTTCTATTTTCTTGGTGACTGATGTTCTGATTTTTGATGTCTCGGATATATATATATATATATATATATATATATATATATATATATATATATATATATATATATATATATATATATATATATATATATATATATATATAATAGAGAAAATATATTAATTCAGCAAAACTTGGCTTATTAGGCAAATCGGGCCTTGAATAGTAGGCCGAGAAGTGCGTTCTGGCTACTAGGTACGACATATATATATATATATATATATATATATATATATATATATATATATATATATATATATATATATATATATATATATATATATATATATATATATGTATATATGTATATAAGGGGTACCACCTCTGGTGCAGGTGTAGGGACTCATAGCCTCGGAGAAGAAAATAAAGAGTACTCAGAGAAGACCTTGTGGATCCTCACTGAACACTTTGATTTTTCTTCTCCTAGCACCCCTATTCTTTTAGTATATGTGTATATATATATATCTAATTTAATTTAAAATTTCATTACACAAAGAGGGTTATAATATTGGTTACATGCAGGTACAATGCTACTTGTCACAAGTTGTACAGCTCCTCCAGCTCCTCAGATGGCGGGCAAGAATCATGGATGCAGTGAGCATTTCCTCTCTGGATCGCCACACTAAGGCGCTGAAAGAGAAAACTGGCGGCTCTAGGGGTCTCTAGTTGTTTCAATTAGCATGGACCCCAACTCCTTAAAAAAACTAGCAGTACTTTTACCCCAGGCACCGAGTGTCTCTGAGGCAATGGGGACAAAATTGTAGTGGTAATCAACGTCTCTGCATTTACGTGACTAGGTTGCTTCCCGGTGATTGGCAGCACCTCCTGCTTGTATAGCACTGAAGTCAACGTTGGTGTTGGCTAAAGTTGAAACACAAGTGTAGTCCCACATCAACTGTCTACCATTCTTCCAGGGGTTCACCGTGATCCCGTCTGGGCGACCAACAGTCTCATCAGAGTTGCGGGGCATTAGGTAACGGGGGTTCTCTCTCTCTGCTGGACAACCAGCTGTGGTAAGGCTTCTCTTAATAATGTCGTTAACCTCGCCGTGTCTTGCATGCCATCCTTCATCCCTTTGGCAGAGAAGGCCATGCCGTCCTTATGTATTATATATATATATATATATATATATATATATATATATATATATATATATATATATATATATATATATATATGTCGTACCTAGTAGCCAGAACGCACTTCTCAGCCTACTATGCAAGGCCCGATTTGCCTAATAAGCCAAGTTTTCATGAATTAATTTTTTTCGACTACCTAACCTACCTAACCTAACTTTTTCTACTACCTAACCCAACCTAACCTATAAAGATAGGTTAGGTTAGGTTAGGTAGGGTTGGTTAGGTTTGGTCATATGTCTACGTTAATTTTAACTCCAATAAAAAAAAATTGACCTCATACATAATGAAATGGGGAGCTTTATCATTTCATAAGAAAAAAATTAGAGAAAATATATTATTTCAGTAAAACTTGGCTTATTAGGAAATCGGGCCTTGCATAGTAGGCTGAGAAGTGAGTTCTGGCTACTAGGTACGACATATATATATATATATATATATATATATATATATATATATATATATATATATATATATATATATGGTTGCTTGTGTAGTTACTTAAGTATAACTATCTGAGTGTAACCATCTTATTTCCTTTGTGGGGGGTTTAGTGCTCCACACCTCCTCCCCTGGGGGTCTAGTACTTCACATCCCCTCCCCTGGGGGAGGTCTAGTGCTCCACACCCCCTCCCCTGGGGGAGGTCTAGTGCTCCACACCCCCTCCCCTGGGGGAGGTCTAGTGCTCCACACCCCCTCCCCTGGGGGAGGTCTAGTGCTCCACACCCCCTCCCCTGGGGGAGGTCTAGTGCTCCACACCCCCTCCCCTGGGGGAGGTCTAGTGCTCCACACCCCCTCCCCTGGGGGAGGTCTAGTGCTCCACACCCCTCCCCTGGGGGAGGTCTAGTGCTCCACACCCCCTCCCCTGGGGGAGGTCTAGTGCTCCACACCCCCTCCCCTGGGGGGGGTCTAGTACTTCACACCCCCTCCCCTGGGGGAGGTCTAGTGCTCCACACCCCCTCCCCTGGGGGAGGTCTAGTGCTCCACACCCCCTCCCCTGGGGGAGGTCTAGTGCTCCACACCCCCTCCCTGGGGGAGGTCTAGTGCTCCACACCCCCTCCCCTGGGGGAGGTCTAGTGCTCCACATCCCCTCCCCTGGGGGAGGTCTAGTGCTCCACACCCCCTCCCCTGGGGAGGTCTAGTGCTCCACACCCCTCCCCTGGGGGAGGTCTAGTGCTCCACACCCCCTCCCCTGGGGGAGGTCTAGTGCTCCACACCCCCTCCCCTGGGGGAGGTCTAGTGCTCCACACCCCTCCCCTGGGGGAGGCAATGTTGTGCTCCACACTCCTTCTCTTTTTCAATTCAATTTATGCTGTGATCTTATTTAGTATAACATTTTAGTTTAAGTGTTTTCCCCAGACTTTGGCCAAAACGCTGTGCGCATTAGTGGCTTTAGGCATAGTATGTACTAAGCTGTCTCCAGAAATGCAACATTATGTGTGTAACTCATCGTGTATGTTTGTAGTTTTACATGAATAAACATTTATTTATTATATATTTATCATTTATTTATTATCTTAATTTTTCTTTACCCAGATTCACGTCGCTAAAGTTAGATTTAAATAATGCGCGGGAATTTTGGAGTATGAAACGACACCAACAAAATTTCGCGTGTGTTCTGAAGTAATATAAACGTAGATCGTTATCAATTAATACAGAAGATATACTAAAATTTATATTAGATTATATAGTGATTTGTTAAGATGTAGGGCGGGTGTTGTAAAGAAGAATGATAATAAAGGGAGTGTGATGATGGGCGGAGTTTTGCTGGCGCGGCTTGTCATACTCCTCGTCAGCCCTCCACCATCCCTTCCCCGTCGTGGTCCAACGCAGGTGGGTCGCCGCTTCTCCTTTCTCGCGCCTTTACCTCACCTCCACGGTATATTAGTGCTGTAACGTAGCGTATAACGGCTGAGTGAGCCACGGAGAGGGTGTGGTGTTAATGGCGGAGGGTATACAGTCGTGGGGGATGGAGGGGGAGGAGGTTTTTAGTGGCCGCCACGTGATGGTGGATTGTTGTCATGCGTCAACCTGTAGTGACTGGGGCTTGACCCCCGGGGTATGTGTAGGGGGGCTTCAGGGCCGCCCCCGGGGCCCTGTAGTCGTGTAGGGTCATGCCCCCAAGGGCTACCGTCATGCCTTGTAGGTGGCCATATTGTACAAGTTTTATTAAAATTGTGGGCATCGTCTCTTGGTCCCCCCCCCTCATGGGGCTCTACCCCCCCTCCTGGGGCTCTACCCCCCCTCATGGGGCTCTACCCCCCCTCCTGGGGCTCTACCCCCCCTCCTGGGCACTTGGGGGGGACTAAACCGGATGTCTTTGTCATCCTTATTTTTCAAGTAACCTGTCTTGGTAAGTTTGATATTAAAGATCCTGTGGTAAATTGTGGTGCCGGGGGGGGGAGGTGGTGTCTTTGTTCTTTACCCTGGGGTTCTTCACGGGGGGGGGGGTGGCCAGGCTTGTTGCTTGCTCCTGATAGTTCCCTCCCTCCAGGTGGACCAGGCTTGGTGCTTGCTCCTGATAGTTCCCTCCCTCCAGGTGGACCAGGCTTGGTGCTTGCTCCTGATAGTTCCCTCCCTCCAGGTGGACCAGGCTTGGTGCTTGCTCCTGATAGTTCCCTCCCTCCAGGTGGACCAGGCTTGGTGCTTGCTCCTGATAGTTCCCTCCCTCCAGGGGGGGGGGGACCAGGCTTGGTGCTTGCTCCTGATAGTTCCCTCCCTCCAGGTGGACCAGGCTTGGTGCTTGCTCCTGATAGTTCCCTCCCTCCAGGTGGACCAGGCTTGGTGCTTGCTCCTGATAGTTCCCTCCCTCCAGGTGGATCAGGCTTGGTGCTTGCTCCTGATAGTTCCCTCCCTCCAGGTGGATCAGGCTTGGTGCTTGCTCCTGATAGTTCCCTCCCTCCAGGTGGATCAGGCTTGGTGCTTGCTCCTGATAGTTCCCTCCCTCCAGGTAATTACCTAAGTGTAATTACCTAAGTGTAGTTACAGGATGAGAGCTACGCTCGTGGTGTCCCGTCTTCCCAGCACTCTTTGTCATATAACGCTTTGAAACTACTGACGGTCTTGGCCTCCACCACCTTCTCACTTAACTTGTTCCAACCGTCTACCACTCTATTTGCGAAGGTGAATTTTCTTATATTTCTTCGGCATCTGTGTTTAGCTAGTTTAAATCTATGACCTCTTGTTCTTGAAGTTCCAGGTCTCAGGAAGTCTTCCCTGTCGATTTTGTCAATTCCTGTTACTATTTTGTATGTAGTGATCATATCACCTCTTTTTCTTCTGTCTTCTAGTTTTGGCATATTTAATGCTTCTAACCTCTCCTCGTAGCTCTTGCCCTTCAGTTCTGGGAGCCACTTAGTAGCATGTCTTTGCACCTTTTCCAGTTTGTTGATGTGCTTCTTAAGATATGGGCACCACACAACAGCTGCATATACCAGCTTTGGCCTAACAAAAGTCATGAACAATTTCTTTAGTATATCGCCATCCATGTATTTAAATGCAATTCTGAAGTTAGAAAGCATAGCATAGGCTCCTTGCACAATATTCTTTATGTGGTCCTCAGGTGATAGTTTTCTATCTAGAACCACTCCTAGATCTCTTTATCAGAATTCTTTAAAGATTTCTCACATAATATATAGGTTGTGTGGGGTCTATGTTCTCCTATTCCACATTCCATAACATGACATTTATTAACATTAAATTCCATTTGCCAAGTGGTGCTCCATATACTTATTTTGTCCAGGTCTTTTTGAAGGGCATGACAGTCATCTAAATTTCTTATCCTTCCTATTATCTTAGCATCATCAGCAAACATGTTCATATAATTCTGTATACCAACTGGTAGATCATTTATGTACACAATAAACATCACTGGTGCAAGAACTGAACCCTGTGGTACTCCACTTGTGACATTTCTCCATTCTGATACATTGCCTCTGATTACTGCCCTCATTTTCTATCAGTCAGAAAATTTTCATCCATGATAGAAGCTTACCTGTCACCCCTCCAATATTTTCCAGTTTCCAGAACAACCTCTTATGTGGAACTCTGTCGAAAGCCTTTTTTAGGTCCAGATAGATGCAGTCAACCCAACCATCTCTTTCCTGTAATATCTCTGTGGCTCGATCATAGAAACTGAGTAAATTCGATACACAGGATCTTCCAGATCGAAAACCATACTGTCTGTCTGATATTATATCATTTCTCTCTAGGTGTTCTACCCATTTAGTTTTGATTAGTTTTTCCAATACTTTCACTATTACACTTGTTAATGATACAGGTCTATAATTGAGGGGGTCTTCCCTGCTGCCACTTTTGTAGATTGGAACTATGTTAGCCTGTTTCCACCCGTCTGCTACGATTCCTGTACACAGGGATGCCTGAAAGATCAGGTGAAGTGGAATGCTGAGCTCAGATGCACATTCTCTCAGAACCCATGGTGAAACGCCAGCTGCTTTGTTCTTACCGAGCTCCTTGAGCATTTTTTCCACTTCGTCTCAAGACACCTCTATGTGTTCTATGTTGTTCTCTGGAATTCTTATTGTATCTGGTTCCCTAAAGATTTCATTTTGTACAAACACACTTTGGAACTTTTCGTTTAGTGTTTCACACATTTCCTTTTCATCTTCCGTGAATCTATTTCCCATTTTCAACCTCTGAATATTATCCTTTACCTGCAATTTGTTGTTTATGAATTTATAGAATAGACCTGGTTCTGTTTTACATTTGTCCGCAATCCCTTTTTCAAAATTTCTTTCTGCCTCTCTCCTCACTGCTGTGTAGTTGTTTCTCGCATCTTTGTATCGCTGGTATGTTTGGGGGTTCGGCCTCTTCCTGTATTGATTCCATTTTTGTGTCTTTCGGTCTCTAGCCCTCTCGCAATTTCTACCAAGGTGGGCCAGGCTTGGTGCTTGCTCCTGATAGTTCCCTCCCTCCAGGTGGATCAGGCTTGGTGCTTGCTCCTGATAGTTCCCTCCTAGATTATGCAGTTCAGTTTTGGTCGCCATATTATAGAATGGATATAAATTCACTTGAACGTGTCCAGCGTAGGATGACTAAGTTAATTCCCCAAATTAGAAATCTTTCATATGAAGAAAGATTAACAAAGCTTAAGTTGCATTCACTGGAAAGGCGAAGAGTTAGGGGCGACATGATAGACGTTTACAAGTGGGTGAATGGACATAACAAAGGGGATATTAATAGGGTATTAAAAGTATCAACACAAGACAGATCACGAAACAATGGGTATAAATTAGATAAATTTAGATTTAGGAAAGACTTGGGTAAATACTGGTCAGTAACAGGGTTGTTGATTTGTGGAACCAATTGCCGCGTAACGTGGGGGAGGTGGGGTCCCTCGATTGTTTCAAGCGCGGGTTGGACATGTATACGAGTGGGATTGGGTGGTTATAAATAGGAGCTGCCTCGTATGGGCCAATAGGCCTTCTGCAGTTGCCTTTGTTCTTATGTTCTTATATGTACTTTGCCTGAATAGACTTTATTATTTAACCATGCCTTAATTAAATATTCCTCCCAACCCCTTAATTGTTTCTTAAAGATTTGGTCATCATACAGCAAATGTTGAGTTTTTTATTTATTTATATACAGGAAGTACATTGGGTTTGTGAGTACATAACATGGTGTTCTTACGTTCTTGTACAGAACACTAACACACATGGCATTTCAGGCGAATTCTGAAATTCTGAATTCCGGTGAAGCATTATCACGAATTGGAAAGCTTCCATGTGAAGAGTGAAAACCCCTAATTTACATTCTTTAGAAAGCCAAAGTAATGGGTGATGTAATGAAAGTGTACAAGTACATTTACTGGATAGGCATAACCAAAGTTATATGCATTAGTAAAGAATACAAAAATGAAGATTAAATAAATTTAAAAAGTTGTATCAAATACAAAACACACAAAGCAAAGGATATAAATTGAAGCTTAGATTTAGGAAAGGCCTGGATACATACTGGTCTAGAAACCGGGTTGTCTTGTAGAACAGATGACTGGGTAACATAATAGATGTGGTAGATGGGTAACATAATAGATGTCATCCTTTTACAGGATGAACAACCCAGCGGGTTTTCTTCCTATTGGGGAGTGTTGTACATGCTGCTATGGCGGTGTGTCTACTCACAAGATGAGTGGCACTGCCCAATAAACATGCCCCTCGGGGCAAAATTTAAAATAATAGATGTGGGATTTTTAGATTGTTTCAAACATAGACGAGGAACACATGAAGCCAGTTTGGGTGGATACAAGTCTGAGCTGCCGTGTATGGGCCAATAGGCCTGTTGCTTCTGTAATTTTTTGTTTTAATGTGTACAATACTACTTTTCTATTGTAAAATACGCCACAGTATTCCATCCTGAGGGTTATCAAGGAAACCTTGAACTTTACTAAGGTATAATAGCTTAATTGCTTTATTTTTTTAAATAGACAAAAGCTGCCACCCCTTACCCAGAGAGATGAACCTCATCCCTTGCATTTACGAACATAAGAATTGAGGAACTGCCTGTTGTCCTGTATGTGGCAACCCCCAGCTCTAGATAAATGAACCACCATACCCAGCATATATGTCAATCTTTCCATGAAAGTGTTCTTAGTTTTTAATAAATATTGCATTTGCTTAGCAATTGCATTGTTTAGTTAGCAATTGTTTTTGACGTACATCCATTTCCAACTGCCCTTGGAAGAAAGCCACTTAATTAAAATCTCTCCCTTGCTCCAAATTCTATGGCAGTCTTAAACCTCTGTATTAGTGCTTCATTTCTAACTTTCCATATTTCATTTTCTCCAGCACTAATACAAACTAATGTATTGCCTTTTCCACCTATAATATTAGTTATTGTTAACAGTATTCCTCCCCCCCCCTTATTCTTGCTCCTAGGTAGCAAACCTTTATCCTGTTTTCCCGGTCAGACACAAAGTCCTGTCTGAATATTGTATGGTATTCTTGCTGGTGTAAAGGCAGTTATCTGAATGTTATTACAGCTCATTATTCATTCAGTACCTTGAGTGTGTTTACACCAACTCTAGACATTCGATTTGCTTATTCTCAATCTTGTAAGAACACCTCACATGTCTTGGACCCCCTCATGTATTCCTAAACATATCTTGTGCAACTCTATTGAACAACATTTCTCCTACCTTTCAAAACCTACCTACCAAAATACTTTCATCCTACTGAGGCTGACAGTGGACTTAATTGTTTAAGACAATAAATTCTATTTCTTGCCTCTTTGAGAAGGAAACCCTACATGTACCTGTGAATTTTCAGTAATTGATGTTCTTGTACCATCTTTGTATTGATCAGTTTTCCTTCCTGTCTCCATACAAATTTCTCTGGCAAAACAAAGAAAGGGTTTGGTGTCTTTGATGGCTTGCCATCTTTTGCTGTTTTTTTTTTTTTTTTTTTTTTTTTTTTTCCATCTATATCTGGGACTATTGTCTACCTGCCTCCTATCCTTTTTCAGAATGCTTTCATCATTTTATAAGGCATTGTACTGATATACACACAAACATGCATACATACAGCATATGTATAATTTTCTTTATATACGTGTATGTCCTTTTAACCTGATGACAGTATTGGTAAACATGTAACTTCCTTCACAGGTACAATGTCTAATAAGGACAAACAAAAAAATGTGAACCGTGAGGTTCGCATTGGTAAGCTGTGTCTTAACATCTGCGTTGGAGAATCTGGCGACAAACTGACTCGTGCTGCAAAGGTGGGCTTTAAACCTTTTTTTAGGGCTTTCTCATGTCTTGAGCCAACAACCGTGACCATGTTGAAACACTGCTTCCCGTTCGAACAGCGAAGTTGAGCAACGTTGGTTCTGGTTAGTACCAAGATGGGTCGACTGTCTGGGAACTCCCGATGTTGTTGGTAGACTGGAAAGGCCTCAAATGTTTACACGTGCTTTCCTTAATATTGTTGGATTAAATGTATAGAAAGAAAAATAAAATGTAGTAAGTAAACACACAAATAAAGGAATAAATTTAAAATCAAATGCAACAATGCAACTTGAAGTATCATACTAAAATACTGAGGCAGTGTGATGGGATCAAACGAACATTCCTGATAACATGTGCTTGGGAAATCCGGGGATTAAGGTTTGATCCCATTGTACAGACTACATTTTCTTGAACTTATTGATTTCTTTGAAAACTCAATTTCACTTGTTTAGAGTTTGAAATACAGCTTTTGCAGTATTAGGTTCATTTATGAACCTAATGTATCAGATCATTTATAACCTGTTTCAAGTTATATTATTTAGTATAAAATTAAATGCAGTACTTCTCATTTTTCAGGTAACCTTATTTAGTTACATTCAGTAAGGATACCTTATTGCTTGATAGGATAATTTGCCAAGTAATTTTTTCTTGCAATAAATGAACACATTCCATATGGGTTTAAAAATTTGTATTTGCCTATACAGCCTAAAGCAGGTGGTAAAGCTCCATCGAAGGCTAAAAATATACTGTATCCACAAGACTGATAAAGTGCCTGATTAGGCATGCACACTTAACCACCTTAAATGCCTTGATCCCCCATCCCATCTGCATGCCCTTTCCCCCAAAGTCACCCACCGAAATTCTAGTCATGTTAATCTCTTAGTTAGCGAATTGATATTGTTTGGGCCGAGTAATGTAGTTTTTGTCATCCCATTAGGTGTTGGAGTCTTTGACTGGTCAAAAGCCTGTGTTCTCTAAGGCCCGCTATACTGTGCGATCCTTTGGCATCCGGCGTAATGAGAAGATCGCTGTCCACTGCACAGTAAGAGGGCCCAAAGCAGAAGAGATTTTAGAGAAAGGATTAAAGGTATGATTTAACAACACTAATGTTATTTATTGACCTTGTCAGAATATATAGTGTACACACTTATGATAGTGCACATTTTGTAATGTGTACTTAACATAGATGTGTTAGAGAAATTTGGAGAGATAATTAGCAGTGTTTGGTACTTTCCACTCATTGTCAGTCCCTCTACTACAGTTATTGAAAGTTATATATTGGGATTGGTACATATGCCTGGGTGGGAAATATCAATGAATCTAGATTTTTAAAACCCCTTTTAACGTTTTTTTGACGTCGTTGTCATTTGCTCAAAACGCAAGAACGTTCCTATGACTGTGTTAGTTATTTTCAACATCATGTTGGCTAACTTCAACTCACTTATGTTATTTTGCTTTTATTTAATGTTTGAAAATACGATCATAAAGTTCAACTAGCTTAAAAGGATACCAAGTTGAACTTTACCTACCATGCCTAGTAACCTCGGAAGTAAAATATTGCAGAGTGATTTGTGCTTTGCTGAAGACGCTGGTAGCGCCCAAAATGGGTAAGGGGGCAAAAATGTGAAAGGACTAGTTTGGATGTGTTTTCAAGTTGTATATTATATAAATTTGTTTTTGTAATGCTAAGTGACAGCATTATGTATTCACCATTTATATTTAGTTTACTTAATGTAGTACCTTAGTATTTTGTTTACATTTTTCTTGACAAGCTTTCATTATCTACAGTAATGAGTGCCTTATTGTATTAGCATGAAACACATCACTTGTGTTTAACCACTGCACTACACACCTGTTGAAGATCCTTGCAGCCATATCTCCCTCCCTGTTCACATTTGACATCAAGCAATGTATGCCTACACTCTGCTACCCACATAAAATATCTTATTGGCTGCAAAATTTATTATCTTTTTTGGGTTAGAGAAACTGTTCGTCCCAATTCCAAACTGCTGTATGATGGCTCCTCGGTGTCCATCCTTCCTCCCCTACTTTCCCGGTTTGGTGCCTTCTTTTGATAATTACTTGCTTACTTCCTCCCCTACTTCAGGGAGGAGGCTGAAATGTTATTACGTTCATTTTCCTCTTGCACATTTCAGCAGGACCAACACTACTACTGAACATCGTTCGTAGTCAAAAGTATAACTGACCTACAGTTTAGGAATTAATTTATAACAAATTGTTTTAAAGAGTATTGGGCAAAATGCTGTGGAACCTCTAAACTTTGGACAATTCTGTTCTGTGCTCAATACAAAAATTTAACATAATATATTTTTGTGCATTTAAACTAAAAGTCAGTAAAGAATTTTCTATTTGCTAATGTTGAAGCCACATTCAAGAATTGGCAAAGCTGTTTAGCCAAGATCATTGAAAAGCTGCCTAAGTAGTCCTTCCTCGTCTCTAAATCCATGCCATTAATGCATGGTTCACTCATACAAATTTTCATTGGTTTCACAATACTTTTTGCGAAGATTGAAAAGCTAAAAGAAAGGTCACATCCCTGGAAACACAAACCGAAACTCTCTATTTTCCGCTTGTTACAACTTGTAATAAAGTTGTTACATCTTGGCTTAACGTGTTTATGACGTATTAGAATGTTGTTACAACTTGCTATATTGATTGTTATAACTGGTTAGGCGTTAAAACTTGTTCAAACGTACCAACGTCGTAGTTTCAGTGTGTGTTTGGCGGGATATTTCACATGTAAGTTAAATTGTTGTTCAAGCCAGGATTTAGGTCATACATACAGTAATTTAACTAAAGCTTTAATCCACACAGGTCCGTGAATACGAGTTGCGTCGTGATAACTTCTCTCAGAATGGCAACTTTGGCTTTGGTATTCAAGAGCATATTGACTTGGGAATTAAATATGATCCTGCCATCGGCATCTTCGGTTTGGACTTCTTTGTTGTGCTTCAGCGACCAGGTAAAGATACAAATTGACATTTTTACTGTTTATTGATGTGATTTTTTATAGTGACTATACAACTGCATATTCTGATTTTGCTCTCACAAGTAATGAACACTTCAGTATTTTATTGATCTATTGAAAACTGAATCTGAAATCCTGCAAACACAACATATTGGTCCCTATTGTTGCAACTTGTTAAAAAGTTGTTACATATTGTTATAAAGTTTTTGTTAGAAAGTTGTTACAACTTGGTAGATAGTTGATACAGCTTGTTAGGTGTTATAACTTGTTCGAATGTTGCAGCAATGTCGTGTGTTTGGCAGGAAGTTGAAAGCATACCATAGGCTTCACACACTATGTCCTTTGTGTTCCTCTTGACAGTTTACTGCCCTTAGATCTGTCAGTTCTTTAATGCCTTTTCACATAATTAACAGGTTGTGTGGGGCATATACTCTCCAATTCCACATTCCATAACATGACCTTTATTCACATTGAATTCCATTTGCCAACTGTTGCTTCAAAAAAGTCATCTTGAAGGGCACGACTATCATTCAAGTCATTTATTATTTATTTATTCCCTAGTAGCTTAGCATCATCAGCAAACATGTTCATATAATTTTTTTTTTTTTTTTTTTTTTTTTTTTTTTTTTTTTTGAGATATATACAAGAGTTGTTACATTGTTGTACAGCCACTAGTACGCGTAGCGTTTCGGGCAAGTCCTTAATCCTATGGTCCCTGGAATACGATCCCCTGCCGCGAAGAATCGTTTTTTCATCCAAGTACACATTTTACTGTTGCGTTAAACAGAGGCTACAGTTAAGGAATTGTGCCCAGTAAATCCTCCCCGGCCAGGATACGAACCCATGACATAGCGCTCGCGGAACGCCAGGCGAGTGTCTTACCACTACACCACGGAGACTGTAACTGTTCTTTCTGGTGCTAGAACTGAACCCTACTAAACCAGTAACATTTCTAGTCCGATGCATTGCCTCTGATCACTGCCCTCGTTTGTCAGAAAATTCATCTATTAAGTCAGCCTGTCATCCCTCAATCATGCTCTTAAGTTCTGGAACAACCTCTTGTGTGGGACTGTCAAGTCTTTTAGGTCCAGATAAATCCAGTCAACCCAACTATCTATATCCTGTAAAATCTGGGGGCCCCATCATAAAACTTTAGACTTCTTACACAGGATCTTCCTGTTCGAAAGCTATGCTGTCTTGTGTTATTTCTTTCTGTATATTCTACCCACTTGGTTTTAATTATTTTTTTTCTAGTCTCACGACTGCTGTGCTTGTTAATGATGCAGGTATTTTAACACTTTGAGGTTCCACAGACTGATTATCTCATCACTCATTTTTCTACTGAATGTGTTCCAACGACGCAATACTGAGTCACTCATTAAAATATTTTTTAAAAATTTAAATTTTATCAGATCAATCTGGTAGTGGTTTTAAAATAAGCGCCTTTAGATTGCACACAATTTGATACCAAAATCAAAGATATAACATGAAACTTGATGTCCAAACACTTGAAATATTATAAATAGGCCTATGGTCCGAATATTAAAATAATTGTTAAAATTCTATTTATTGTCCTATTATCTTGGGACTAGTTTTAAAATGCGCGCCGTTTTATTGCGAACAATTTGATACCAAAATGAAAGATGTAACACAAATATTTGTCAGAACACTGTAAAGATATAAATAAATTTGTGATGATGAGCGTCCAGAATTAAAATATTTGTTACAAATCCAGTTATTGCTCTATTATTCTGGGACTAGTTTTAAAATACTCGCCTTTTTATTGCGAACAATTTGATACCAAAACGAGAGACGTAGCACGAAATTTGATGTTATCAAATTGAATGAGTTGAACATTAGGTTGCAATGTACAAAATGGTGCTCGTTCACGGGTAACTTTAGGCTTTTCTGCGGGGAGGCACTCCAGCCTTTTGTACATTTTATTCATACACATCTGTAGGGAATTTAATTGCGAACACAATGATACCAAAACGAGCGACGTAGCACGAGAATTAAGGTAAAAAAATGGAACGAGAATGCACATGTTACTGATTTTGTGCATTTTTGCCGACTTTACGCTTTGCTGTTGGGAGTCACGCTAGGCTTTTGGACATTATATTTATACACACCTGTAGAGAATTTAATTGCGAACACAATGATACCAAAACGAGCGACGTAGCGCGAGAATTAAGGTGAGAAAACTGGAACGAGTATACACATTTGGGTGTCACCGCGCGCTTACCCGCACGGAGGGGCTACCGTCAACCGCGAGTTTCCACGGAGCGCGAAAGTGTTAATGTCCATCTCTGGTATCATTTTTTTAGATTGGAACCTGTTTACCTATTTTCATGTCTTAAGATTCCTTTTTATAAAGATACCTGGTGCAATGAAAGTTATTGTTAGGTGATAAAAGATGATGGATACAGTAATAGGTGTGCAAAGTTGGAAAATGTAAGAAAAATATTACAAAGGTGAATAATTAAGATTGAGGAGTGTACCAAAATGCCTTGAGTGAATGGATGATGGTACACCGCTCTTGAATATTAGTAAATGTGAGGAGAGGAAGGTGATGTGTGGACAGAACCCCAGAGTATGGCAATCTGGATAAGAGTACTGTAGTTTGTAAGAGGGTACAGTTATACTGTAAATGTGTGTGTGTAATGTATACAGCAGTTCACAACAAACACTAAATCTAGTGGTATGAATGGTGGTCCTGTGAGTATTATAAATAAAAGGGAATATTTATTGTAAAAGCTGAGTACAGTACTTTATTTAACTTTTAACAGGATACCGGGTAGCGAAGCGCCGCCGCAGTCCAGGCAAGATTGGCCCACAGCATTGTCTGGTGAAGGAGGATGCAATCAAGTGGTTCCAGACCAAATATGAGGGTATTATTCTGCCTGGCAAAAAGAAGTAAAGCATTTACTCATTAAAAAGAAGTGGAATTTTTTTTAACCTTTTGAAATTTACTTGAAGTGTTTGTATTGCAAGGAAAGATTCTCAAACTAGTGAATTCTTGAACAAATGCACAAGGGCCGTGGCGAGGATTCGAACCTACGTCCGAGATCATCCCAGACACTGCCTTAATCGACTGAGCAACGACATGGTTAAAGAGAGGAGTTCTCGGCTCCTTACTAAGGAGTTGGTAGCTCAGTCGATTAAGGCAACATCTGGGATGATCTCGGACGTAGGTTCGAATCCCCGTCATGGCCCTTGTGGATTTGTTCATTGATGCATCACGCTATTGTGATTTCTGTGTATAGTGAGTTCTTATTGTGTGAGGGCAGGCATGCTGCGAACTGAGCTTTGCAGACTGTTGTATATTTGTGTTGGGGAAATTAGGTTTACCTGCTTGATGGGGGTTCTGGCAGGCTATTGCTTGGAGCGGCCCGCTTGTTACAACTGTTCTCTAACTTCCGGCTAACTACTTATTAGATAAATGTAGACATGGTTGGAGGGATGATGCTAGCCTCTTCAAACGAAATTTGCATGGGCATGAGCATATCAGAATAGTCCCCGTCTGTGCCCTTTCGTTTGCACGATATGGCAGAGTACCCTACCAGACTCCATCCTCTATACTACATAGTCTTCCTGGCTTGGTGCTTTTGACAATTACTTGATCCATCCTCACTATGGTTTATTTAGCATTATAGTGGTGCCCAACCTATGAGTTGCGAACCCCAAGGTCTTTACAGTATTAAAAATGTAATGTTAAAATAATTTAATCCCTTCAGTATTTTGCCTTGTGATATATTAGCTGGAGGTTGCAGAGTGACGCGGGGAAGTGAATGAAGTTACGTACGTGCCAAGTGAAACAACCTTTGAGTACTTGTTTGGGTTATGAGACCACCCACTCGAAGAGTTGGTAGGGTGTCTACACTGGGGCAAGAGGGAGAAAGTTCTTGCCCCTGGTATAAAAGTAGAGCATGGGTTTGGGACAAATTTCGGACTAGTTATGCTGTGTGCCACCTCTGGTGACAGGCAATCTTAATCAATCTTTGGACAATTGCGGGCTCGCTGTAGCCCGTGCTACATGGACTTTTCGTTGAGTAGCTAAAAATAAAACAAAGTGGTACAACACTGTCACCCTTGGTACCCTCGCAGGGTACCCAGAGTACAAAATGGTCACTGGGAATAAATGGTTCAGCAAGAGTCGAACCCAATATACCTTCTTGTGTGTGTACATGTACACCAGTTACAAACAAAAATAAGATAATCTACAACAAAATCGAGCACACGTGATGTGGAGGCAGACTCTATGCACTGCCAAATGTAAATGATAGAACTCTGGGAATCTGTACACCTGTTGAGAGGCCAGAGCTCAACTCTCGTAAACACAACTAGGTGAATACGTAAGGGAAACTACAGAGATGTAATATTCCTAACATATAGTATGGGAAAAGACTACCCAAGAAATGATAGAATACATGCAGCAGGCAAGTTTATTTTGGTCTAAAATGAAATGCAGATGAAAAACCCATGGTTTAATCAGATGTAAGCTAGCAAAGGAACTAAGTAAAAGGGCGTAGAGAAACTAGAAATGACGGACACTTGAGAACAGAGGATACCAGAGCACCAGTAATGAATACGTAGGGTGAGAAGAGAGGCAGAAGGACAATACGAAAACTATATAGAAAGCAAGGCAAAGGCTACCAGCCACTTCAGGAGATAAACAAGTGGAGGAATAGGTATTGAAACTGGATAGGGGGCTGGCAGATTCACTGCAAACTACAAGTGTGAAGAACTTTATAAGAAATTCCAGGTCTTCACGTTAGAGCAAGAAGTTCCAGAGATGAGAGAAGGAATTGTTAACCCAGGCACCACTAGAGGAGTTTGGGATTAGCAGTGGGGATGTAATAAAGCTTTTGCTAGAGGTGGGTGTGACGAAGGCTATAGGCCTGGATGGAATCTCACCATGGATACTAAAGGAAGGAGCAGAAGCACTGTGCTTGCCACTCTCCATGGAGTGAAACAAATTGCTGGTAACAGGTGAACTGCCAAACATTTGGAAGATGGCAAATGTAGTCCCATTATACAAGAAAGGGGATAGACAGGAGGCACTGAACTACAGGCCAGTGTCCCTAACCTGCATACCACACAAGTTGATTGAGAAGATTGTGCGAAAAAAAGCTAGTGGAACATTCTGGAGCGAAGGAACTTTGTGACAATACCAACATAGGTTTAGGGATGGAAAGTCATGCCTCGCAGAATTAATTGAATTCTATAATCAGGCAAGAGAGGGGTGGGCAGACTGCAGATTTTTGGATTGCCAGAAAGCATTTGACAGCACCACATAAGAGACTAGTGAAAAAGCTGGATATGTAGGCAGGAGTGAAAGGGAAGGTACTCCTTTGGATAAGGGAGTCGCTGAGGCCTCAGATTGGCGAGGCGTCACCATTGGAGTCCCGCACGGTTCAGTACTTGGACCTATACTGTTTCTAATATGTAAATGATCTCCCAGAAGGTATAGAATCATTCCTCTCATTGTATGCTGCTAATGCAAACATTATGAGTGAGGATTTAGATGGAGGCAGATAGTATGAGGCTACAAGATGACCTAGACAAACTGAATGGTCCAACAAATGGCAACTAAAGTTCAACCCGAGTAAATGTAAGATAATGAAACTAGGCGGAGGAAACAGGAGGGCAAACAAGGATACCGAATGAGAGATGAAGTCCTTCATGAAACGGACAGAGAGAAAGATAAAGGGGTTGATATCACACCAAACCTATCTTCTGAAGCCCACATAAAAAAAATAACACCTGCGGCGTATGCAAGGCTGGCATCAGAACTGCCTTCAGGAACCTGTGCAAGGAATCTTTCAGAATCTTGTATACGACATGTAAGACCAATCCTGGAGTATGCGGCCCCAGCATGGAGTCCGTAACTTGTCAAGCACAAGATAAAGCTGGAAAAAGTTCAGAGATATGCCACTAGGCTAATCCCAGAACTAGGAGGCATGAGTTACGAGGAAAGGCTGCATGAAATGCACCTTGCGACAATGGAAGACAGAAGAGTAAGGAGAGACATGATCACTACCCACAAAATTCTCAAAGGAATTGACAGGGTAGATAAAGATAAACTGTTTAACACGGGTGGAACCGAGTACCCAAATGAGTCACAGGGATGCTTTAGGCTTTAGGTATTGTATGTACTACCTCTATCTTTAAATCTAACAATGTTACAAATACAAATACAATACAAATATTTATTCAGGTGAAGTACATACATACAAGGTGAAATACAAAAGTTGATGGATTTATAGATAGAGCTAGTACATACAATACCTAAAGCCACTATTACGCAAAGCGTTTCGGGCAGGAAAAACACTAAGACTAAAACTTAATACTAATTGAGATTAATGAATAAATTGTGTTGAGAAAAAATAAGAAAGAAATGAAAAAGGGGGAACATGGCAGAAAAAAAACAAAAATACAATATGGTCAACAAACAGCATTGTTTAAAATAGTAGACATGGGTTGACATTTGGAGGTAAGGTAGGTTACATTGAGTTAATTAGGTGGTACTTAGTTTTTATCTTAAACTGGTTGAGAGAGGTACAGTCTTTAACATAATTGGGAAGGCCATTCCACATTCTGGGTCCCTTGATTTGTAGAGCATTTACAACAATACAATACAACACAATACAATTTTATTTAGGTAAGGTACATACATACAATAAATATTTACAAGGATTGTTTGACTTATAGGTAGAGCTAGTACATACAATGCCTAAAGCCACTATTACGCAAAGCGTTTCGGGCATGATAAACTTAAATGACAAGCTTAATACTAATTGAACATAATGAGTAGAATGAAAACAAGAAATGAAAACATAGATGAAAAAGCAGCACAAATACAATTATGTCGACAAACAGCGCTCTTTAAAGAAAAAAACAGACATTGGTTGACAATAGAAGGGTAAGGTAGGTTACAGGGAATTTATTAGGTATAGCTTCGCTTTTAACTGAAACTGGTTGAGAGAGGTACAGTCTTTAACATGGTTGGGAAGGTCATTCCACATTCTGGGCCCCTTGATTTGTAGAGCATTTCTAGTTTGATTAAGTCGTACTCTAGGAATATCAAAACTGTATTTATTTCTGGTGTGATGCTCATGGGTTCTGATACAACCTTCTATGAAGCTTTTGAGATCAGGATTGGCATTATAGTTTAGCGTTTTATATATGTATAATACACATGAGAGAATGTGCAGTGACTTAATGTCTAACTTATTCAGAGATTTAAGTAGGGGTACCGAGTGATGTCTGGGGCCAGAATTGGATATTGTCCTAATAGCAGCTTTGTGTTGAGTAATTAGAGGACGTAAGTGATTTTGGGTAGTAGAGCCCCAAGCACAAATACCATAGTTGAGATATGGATAGATATATGGTTTATATGAGATATATGGTTTGTACTGTAACTCTGCAACTATGTATGTACTGTTCCTAAATAAATTATTATTATTATTATTATTATAAAAAGAACATGCTATTACTAGTTAAAGTGTATTAAACTACATTACCACAAAGATTAAAAACAATTGGGGCAATAAAGACTCAAATATAAACATTTACTTTTACTCAAGAATTTCATAATTAACAACACTAACACGTGTCACAAACATCAGTATCCATCAATTGCAACCGATGCTTGTTTTTTCACTTCCTCTACAGCCAATTTAAGGTTACTACTCGCTTGTTCTAACCTTTCCATGTTATCGTTAAAATATTTTATATTACTTAATAACTCGTCATTCTTTTCCACAAATTCCACGGCCTGTTCAAAAAGAGCCTCCTTGTCATAGTCCGTCATCTCGTCTCCATCACCGCTAAAGGCATTTCTTTCTTGGTGTTCGGTTTGAACTTTAGCTCCTGAAAACATTAAATAAACCATTAGTTAATTTGATTCACATACTGGACTTTTAAATTTAAGATTCACTACAATTACATAATTTGATTGCAGCCCTTTCATGATGTATCCCTGTTCCCTATGTCTAGCAAATCTCATACTGTAGTACAAATACGTACCCTTGTAATATTAATATTCTTAAAAACAAAATACCAACCCTTTCCTCTCCACATTTTACTGTATATATATATATACAGTACTGCACTGTATATGTATATTATAAATTAAGGGAACTAACATGAGAATGTGTCTTAATAATAAGAGTGAGTGCCCTGATACAAGGGGAGTGTTGTCAATGCCTATGTCGAATGTGCTCTCACACACAATTCCAGTTGGAAGCAAGTCAACTAGGAACTTGGTAGACTAAGGCAGGTCCTGATCAATAATGGATATGTCGAGGAAATCATCAAAAGGAAGTTGAGGTGCCTTGTAACAGACAACAATACATCATCGGTCCCTACAATTAAAATATTCTACAGGAACTTCTCCACTGCTCACAATGCGGAAGAGAGGGGTCCTGAAAAAACCTCATTGATAGAAATGTGAACCCTACTGACACCAACCAGATGATTAAACTAATAATATACCATAAGAGCAAGAAGTCTGGCAACTATTTTTCTTTTTTTTATATATACAAGAAGGTACATTGGGTTCATGACAGTAGAGACTTGAAGTTTTACGTTCTTGCAAAGTCACTAGCACGCATAGCGTTTCAGGCAGATCCTTAATCTAATATATAATTTTAAGAAGGTAATTTCTAGCAAAATTAAATTTTTTTTATAGGTACATTGTAAGTACAAAAATACATTGTAAGAAAGTACAAAAATAGATCGCAAGAAGGTACAAAAATGCACTGCAAGGAAGTACAAAAAAAAAAATTGTATAAGAAATTTGGCAGAAAAAAGTAGGCACATTAAAGTAAATTTAAGGGTACACAAAAATCTACAGGTACATTTTAGCATAATGTGAGTTTGTTGCAAGATATAATGTAGTAAACTATGTGTATAATACAATAAAAGATAGCAGCAATGATTATAATGGTAAATTGTATGGCACATACAAATATTGGGGGGACTGGGTAGCACTAGAGACAGTGCGAGTTACAGCACATGCTCATAAAGAATTCTGACAATAAGCAAAACCCCATGAAAGAGAGATGTTGTCTCTACCTTTACATGTCCACTTGGTCAGCCCCCCAATGAATCCAATATATAGGCAAGACAACGACACCCCTTTCAAGATGCCTAATATTGCACAAGCAGCACGGCCCTTTTAAGGAACATGTAATCTCTCCATAACCAGACCACCAGATATATCCTCACAATGCCAAAATAATCGGCAGATACAGTGACAACAGAATGAGAGAAGGTGATGCTACATCATTGCTAGATTTGGTATTTACCAGGAAAGAAGAGATATTTGGCATTCAATACCTTCCTCCCATGGAAAAGAGTGACCATATTCTGTTGGAAATTAAACACACTATGCGATATAATCTAGAAGAGAATGATGAAATTGAAATAGCGGTAGTTGACATTCTTGATTTTGAGAGAGGACACCATGGGGAACTTGGCAAATTCTTTAATGAATTTAATTTGACATACTTGTTGCTAGGCAAGGAAGTAAATGAGATGTATGCCAAATTCTCTGAAATATACAATGAAGGTACAAAAAATATATATACCAAAACAGATGTAGAATTAGAAAACAGGATTGGTTCCACAAAAATTGTGAGAGGAGCCTGAGAGGAAAATGTAAAAAAATGGGTACATTATAGGAAAGGCTCAACCCTCAAACAAACCAGTACTACAAACAAGCAAGAAGACAGCAATGAGGAGAGAGGCAGAAAGGAACTTTGAGAAAGGGGTAGTGGGCTAATGTAAACCAGATCCAGGCTTTTCTATAAATTCATTAAAAGCAAGCTGCATGTATAGGATAAAATCCAGAGATTGAGAATGGGGAACAGGTTTACTGAGAATGAAAAAGAAATGTGTGAAACACTAAATGAACAGTTCCAAAATGAGGTGCTCGTAGAGTCAAATACAATGAAAAGAAAACAAATTCCAGAAAACACCATAGAGTACATAGAGGTGTCTCGAGACAAAGTGGAAAATTTACTAAATGGTAGTATGAATGTTGGACCACATTCTCTGAAATGATGTGCAACTGAGCTAAGCATCCCACTTCAACTGATTGAAGTGGAATGCTTCAATGGACTCCATGCTGGAGTTGCATACTCCAGGATTGGTCTGACATATGTCGTATACAAGGTTCTGAATGATTCCTTACACACAACATGTCAGACCAATCCTGGAGAATACAGCTCCAGTATGTATCTCGTCGAGCACAAGACTAAATTGGAGAAGGTTCAGAGGTTTGCCACAAGACTAGTACCTGAGATGAGGGGTATGAGCTACAAGGAAAGACTATGTGATCACCACATACAAGTTCTCAGAGGAATTGATAGGGTAGATAAAATCAGTTTATTTAACACAAGGGGCAAACACACTAAGGGACACAGGTGGAAATTGAGTACCCAAATAAGCCATAGAGACATTAGAAAGAACTTTTTTAGTGTCAATAGTTAACAAATGGAATGCATTAGGAAATGATGTGGTGGAGGCAGACTCTATACACAGATTCAAGTGTAGATATGATAGAGCTCAATAGGCTTAAAAACCTGTTCACCAGTTGATTGGCAGTTGAGAGGCAGGACCAAAGAGCCAAAGCTCAATCCCCCGCAAGCACAATTAGGTGGCAAGTACAGGAACCTCAACAGATATTTGGAAAAGGGCAAACTTAGTTCCAATCTACAATAATGATAGCAAGAGAAGACCTAAATTATAGACCTGTATCATTGACAAGCATGGTAGTCAAAACACTAGAAAAATAGTTAAAAGCAAATGGGTAAAACACCGAGAGTAATGACATAATAACAGACAGTATGGTTTCTGATCAGGAAAATCCTGTATAACAAATCTACTTAGTTTTTATGATTCTACAGGAAAGAGATGGTTGGCTTGACTGTGTCTATGTGGACCTTAAAAAGGCCTTTGATCGAGTCCCACACAAGTGGTTGTTCTGGAAACTGGAACATGCTGGAGGGGTGACAGGGAGACTTCTGATATGGATGAAAATTTTTCTAACTGACAGAAAGATTAGGGCAGTAATCAGAGGCAATGTATCTAACTGAAGGAGTGTTACTAATGGAGTACCACAGGGTTCAGTTCTTGCATCAATAATGTTCATCGTCTACATAAACAATATACCAGAAAGAATACAGAATTATATGAACATTATATTATGCATTATACAGGATGCTGATGATACTAAGCTACTAGGGAAGATAGGAGACCTAGTTGATTGTCATGCCCTTCAAATTAATCTAGATAAAATAAGTACTTGAGCACCATGTGTACGAAGTTACACGAAGTTACACCTTCGTCGTGTGTACCAAGTTACCTGTAGGGGGGCCGGCCGGCCAAGCGGACAGCACGCTGGACACGTGATCCTGTGGTCCCGGGTTCAATCCCAGGCGCCAGCGAGAAACAATGGGCAGAGTTTCTTTCACCCTGATGCCCATTACCTAGCAGTAAATAGGTACCTGGGAGTTAGTCAGCTTTCACAGGCTGCTTCCTGGGGGGGTGGAGGCCTGGTCGAGGACACTAAAAAGTCCCGAAATCAACTCAAGATAACCTCAAGATAGTCGAACATATTGAACTCCCAAGACCCTCTCCAGGAATCTTACGATAACACCCACCTCCTTGTAACCCCATCCCTATATTTTCAAACTTTCGAACATATGTTACAAGGTGCTGTGGATGTGACACATTATTCCTCATCAACAGCATACCTATAGGCCACAAAAGGCCCTGTGTACATTCTACCTATCACAACCCAATCCAGTACAGCCTAACCTAACAATATACAGTATAGTATATTATTATTTTATCATAATTAATTATATAGTTTTATAATTAAATAAAGTTATACATACAATATAAATAGAATTATAATTAATTATATGGTTTTAACAATTATAAAACTTTATAGTTACAAAATACATCTGTGTACTATTTGACTGTCTATACATTATACAAATCCTATAATCATTTTCACATTTATATATAATTTACACCACACTTTAAGAAACCAGGTCTGAGAGAAGAGCAGGTAACCGCAGGTCATGAAACTCTCAAACAGCGGCAGCCAGGGAAATGACCGGATGGATTATGAGAATGTTCAAATCCAGGGACCCCACAGCAATGGTAATACTGTACTCTTGAAATCACTGGTGCTGTCCTGTCTTGAGCACCCCTGGCCAAAACGCTATGCGTATTAGTGGCTTTGCAAAAACGTAGGAACACCAATGTTATGTACTCACAACCAAATGTACCTTCTTGTATATAAATAAAAAAATATATACAGTATAGGTTACATCACACAAAACAGTTCATCAATGAATTTTAAAATCACTGAATTGTTATTAAATTAACAACTTAATAAAAATTAAATTAACAATTTAATAAAAATTAAATTACAAATTTAATAAAATTTTAATTTCAATTTTATAAATTAAAACCTACCTAATCCAACTTTTTTATTTATATATACAAGTGTTTACATTCTTGTAAAGCCATTAGCATGCACAGCATTTTGGGCAGGTCCTAGATCCTAATTTTTTCCCCAGAATACGACCCACCAAATCGTTTAACAACCAGGTACCCATTCACTGCTGGGTGAACAGAGGCTACAGTTAAGGATTGGCACCCGGTCAATCCTCCCCAGCCAGGATATGAACCGAGGCCAAAGCGTTCACGAAGCGTCGGGCGAGTGCTTTACCACTGCGCCACGGGGACGGCTTACTAACTAAACTAAACCTAACCTAACCGATCCTAGATCCTGATATACTTTTAATGCTGTAATAAGAAATGCTTGTGTATGACCTGACTGCACCAGCTAAACTAACCTACACTCACAGTGGTGTGGGTCTTGACCTACCCTGTGGGTCTTGACCTACACAGTGGGTCTTGACCTACACTGTGGGTCTTGACCTACACTGTGGGTCTTGACCTACCCTGTGGGTCTTGACCTACCCTGTGGGTCTTGACCTACACTGTGGGTCTTGACCTACCCTGTGGGTCTTGACCTACCCTGTGGGTCTTGACCTACACTGTGGGTCTTGACCTACCCTGTGGGTCTTGACCTACCCTGTGGGTCTTGACCTACCCTGTGGGTCTTGACCTACCCTGTGGGTCTTGACCTACACTGTGGGTCTTGACCTACCCTGTGGGTCTTGACCTACCCTGTGGGTCTTGACCTACACTGTGGGTCTTGACCTACACTGTGGGTCTTGACCTACACTGTGGGTCTTGACCTACACTGTGGGTCTTGACCTACCCTGTGGGTCTTGACCTACACTGTGGGTCTTGACCTACCCTGTGGGTCTTGACCTACACTGTGGGTCTTGACCTACACTGTGGGTCTTGACCTACACTGCGGGTCTTGACCTACACAGTGGGTCTTGACCTACACTGTGGGTCTTGACCTACCCTGTGGGTCTTGACCTACACTGCGGGTCTTGACCTACACTGCGGGTCTTGACCTACACTGCGGGTCTTGACCTACACAGTGGGTCTTGACCGACACTGCGGGTCTTGACCTACCCTGTGGGTCTTGACCTACCCTGTGGGTCTTGACCTACACTGTGGGTCTTGACCTACACCTCGGGTCTTGACCTACCCTGTGGGTCTTGACCTACCCTGTGGGTCTTGACCGACACTGTTGGTCTTGGCCTACACTGCGGGTCTTGACCTACGCTGTGGGTCTTGACCTACGCTGTGACCCGTGACCCACTGAGCTCGGTCCGTCTAATTACCACAAGCTACCACAAGCTACACAAGCTTCACTAAGCTTCCTGGCAATACGTTAGTAATGAATAAATATGATATATTTACTCATTATAATGTTGGTGCTGAATGTACAACACGAAAAAACATAATTTTAATCTGAAAAAGTATCTTTTTATAAAGAAATTAGACGAAAATAAAGAGCTGGTGACGCCAAATCAAGTCGACGATCCAAGCGTCGGTTAGGTTAGGTTAGGTTAGGTTAGGTTAGGTTAGGATAGGATAGGTTAGGATAGGATAGGATAGGTTAGGATAGGTTAGGTTAGCCTAACATATCATATTTATTCAATATTAACGTATAGCCAGAAAGCTTTGTGAAGCTTGTGTAGCTTGTGGTAATTAGACGGACCCTGTCTGCCAAAGCCAACCAAAAATCAATTAAATCTTACAAAAAACACACGGGATGAAATCAGTATCCTCACCTCACATTACAACATAACCATCCACAGTCCCAAGACCCATAAAAGCGTAGATCAACTTACTTGTCTTAGGAGAAATGGCGAAAATGGGGTCGGATTCCGTAGCAGCTTTCAGGTCACCTTCCATTTGCTCCCAGGTGGGCGGAGGTGGCCGGTCCGGGAACAATGAGGCCTTCTTGGCCCTGAACATACTGCTTATTCGAAGATTACAACTACCAGGAAGCTTCTTGTAAGGTTGTTCGAGGGCTGTAGGAGGGTCCCGAGCCGGATAGAGCGGGCCAAGGGGGTCCCGGGCCGGATAGAGCGGGCCAAGGGGGTCCCGAGCCGGATAGAGCGGGCCAAGGGGGGTCCCTGTGGCTCCGGACGGAGGGAGAGGTCCCTGTGGCTCCGGATGGAGAGACACTATATAAGTGTATTTATATAGTGACTATATATGTATTTATATAGTGTATTTATGTAGACTTATATAGTGTATTTGTTTACACTATATAAGTCACCATAACTCCGGTTCGACCCATATATTTTGACCATTTTCCCACAGAAATACGTATATATATTTGTATATATATAAATATATATTTGTACTGTATTTCCGAACTATATATATGACAGTGTCAGACCACGAAGGAAGAATTGAAACAGGAATTTCCTTAAGTACTTTGGTATTTATTAATACATCTTCAGAAGTATGCATGAAGGCTAGTATACGAACCTAAGCTACTTAATGACGTCAGATTTTACCCAAGGGCCATTAACACTAGTGACCTCGACGAGGATAAGAAGCCGGCGGCTTGTCAAAGTCCCCTCCGCCCCCCAATTGCCCTGATGATTTTTTCCAGTTGTATTTTAAAACCAAATGTATCTGCTTACCTATTTATAAAACCAATTACATGTCTATTAAAGTACTTTTCACACTAAGTTAGACATGAGAATGTATATAGTAAAGTTGTAGTTTAAATACGTTACTGAGTTTTAGAGAAATAATGATTATAAACCCATGGAACCGCCTACCCGCCAAAGCCGTAAATGTCAAAAAACTAGTTAACTTTTAAAATGTATCTGCTTACCCATTTATAAAACAAATTACATGTCTATTAAAGTACTTTTCACACAAAGTTAGACATGAGAATGTATATAGTAAAGTTGTAGTTTAAATACGTTACTGAGTTTTTGAGAAATAATGATTATAAACCCATGGAACCGCCTACCCGCCAAAGCCGTAAATGTCAAAAAAACTAGTTAACTTTTAAAATCGAACTGGGAAAAGATTAAAACTAATGGAGGGGACGTTTGACAAGCTATCCTCGTCGTGTCCACCGGTATTAGTGGCCCTCAGGTAAATTCAGGTCAATAAATATATATATAATACAATGGTGGAGAGTGAGCGCCGCCGGGAAGAAGGCGACCATCAACACACAACACAAGCTCCTGAAGGCGTCGAATCCCAGCACGTGTAACTCCTCAGTATACCTGCAGGAGGCGTGAGAGGAGGTGCTGCTGCTACCAGCAACCACACTACCGTATTCACCTCCAGTTGGTGGGGTCTGGGTTGTATTTGAGGGCGTGGAGGAAGGTGCTTTTGGGGGGAAAGTGAAAGCCACGCCAGAGGAGCAGGGACGCCGCCGCCGCCATGTCCTCCAGTGATTTCTACATCAGATATTATGTCGGACACAAGGGCAAATTCGGCCACGAGTTTCTGGAATTTGAGTTTAGACCAGATGGTGAGTTGCTCTTGTGGCTGTGTGAGTGTGTGTGTGTGTGTCTAGTTTGGTGGGTGGAGCGGCACTTTGTGTGTGTGTCTCTGCCGCCCTTATGTTTGTGCCATACTACCTCCTAAGGTGCCATTCTGGCTCTCGAGGGGCCATTCTGGCTCTCGAGGGGCCATTCTGGCTCTCGAGGGGCCATTCTGGCTCTCGAGGGGCCATTCTGGCTCTCGAGGGGCCATTCTGGCTCTCGAGGGGCCATTCTGGCTCTCGAGGGGCCATTCTGGCTCTCGAGGGGCCATTCTGGCTCTCGAGGGGCCATTCTGGCTCTCGAGGGGCCATTCTGGCTCTCGAGGGGCCATTCTGGCTCTCGAGGGGCCATTCTGGCTCTCGAGGGGCCATTCTGGCTCTCGAGGGGCCATTCTGGCTCTCGAGGGGCCATTCTGGCTCTCGAGGGGCCATTCTGGCTCTCGAGGGGCCATTCTGCCTCTCGAGGGGCCATTCTGCCTCTCGAGGGGCCATTCTGGCTCGAGGGGCCATTCTGGCTCTCGAGGGGCCATTCTGGCTCTCGAGGGGCCATTCTGGCTCTCGAGGGGCCATTCTGCCTCTCGAGGGGCCATTCTGGCTCTCGAGGGGCCATTCTGGCTCTCGAGGGGCCATTCTGGCTCTCGAGGGGCCATTCTGCCTCTCGAGGGGCTCGATTCTGGCTCTCGAGGGGCCATTTTGGCTCTCGAGGGGCCATTCTGGCTCTCGAGGGGCCATTCTGGCTCTCGAGGGGCCATTCTGGGGCTCGAGGGGCCATTCTGGGTCTCGAGGGGCCATTCTGAGGGGCCATTTAGCCTCTTGAGGGGCCATTCTGATTCTCGAGGGGCCATTCTGATTCTCGAGGGGCCATTCTGATTCTCGAGGGGCCATTCTGATTCTCGAGGGCCATTCTGCCTCGAGGGGCCTTTCTGCCTCCCGAGGGGCCTTTCTGCCTCCCGAGGGGCCATTCTGCCTCTCGGGGGCCATTCTGCCTCTCGAGGGGCCACCCTCTTGGACCTCAAGATGGGTCAGTGGGACATCCAGTATCTGTTCTGTCGATAGGTCGGCCCGGAATCGAACCTGGAATTCTTGATCTCGAGTCGAGATCGAACCCAACTGTACCACTAGGACCCATATGGGCCTGTATACAATGGCATGGATTCATATGGACCTGTCTCCCAGGGGCTCAGTCAAATTATACACAGGTACTGTATTCTGAAAAAGCTAGTTAGGCTAGGCTAAGTTAGGCTAGGCTAAGTTAGGCTAGGTTAAGTTAGGCTAGGTTAAGTTAGGCTAGGCTAAGTTAGGCTAGGTTAGGTAAGGCTAGGCAAGGCTAGGCTAGGCTAGGCTAGGCTAGGCTAGGTTAGGTTAAGCTAGGCTAGGTTAGGTTAGGCTAGGTTAGGTTAGGCTAGGTTAGGCTAGGTTTAGTTAGGTTAGGCTAGGTTAGGCTAGGCTAGTTTAGGTTAGGCTAGGTTAAGTTAGGTTTTCAAAGCATTTGGTGAACAATCTTGGGTACAAATGCTTTTTGCACACCATAATCTCCATACACAAACAGGTACTTCTTTGACAGTAAATTTCATAAATGGGAATCTTTCTTACTTATCTTACTGCTGCATCACATCGTTCTTAAGACAGTTTGTCTATATAAGAACATAATAATCAAGGAAACTGCAGAAGGCCTATTGGCCCTTGCTCCTGTTTATATCCACCTAAACACATTCATATATAATAATAATAATAATAATTTTTATTTAGGTAAGGTACATACATAAAGAGATTTTACAAAGTTTGTTGGCTTTATAGATAGAGCTAGTACATACAATGCCTAAAGCCACTATTACGCAAAGCGTTTCGGGCAGGAAAGCCTGAAATAGATATTTGTCTAACCTACTTTTCAAACAATCAAGGGATTGCATATAATGATTGACACTTTCCATAGCATGTGTTAACTACAACATTGTATGATGCTAATACAGCTTTTCTTTTCTAATCCTGTTTTTTCATTTGTTTTTTTTATTTTTTAGGAAAGCTCCGGTATGCTAACAACTCAAATTACAAGAATGACGTTATGATTCGGAAAGAGGTAAGCTTTTATTTGCTGGAGTCACTGTAGTACTGGTATAGTTTTTTTTTGAGAGATATATACAAGTTATTACATTCTTGTAGAGCCACTAGTACGCGTAGCGTTTTGGGCAGGTCCCTGGAATACGATCCCCGCCGCGAAGAATCGTTGTTACAACCAAGTACACATTTTACTGTTGAGTTAAACAGAGGCTACAGTTAAGGATTTGCGCCCAGTAAATCCTCCCCGGCCAGGATACGAACCCATGACAAAGCGCTCGTGGAACGCCAGGCGAGTGTCTTACCACTGCACCACGGAGACTGGGTTGGTTTAGTTATCCTTCTTTCCTTCGATCTGTTGCCCCTTTCTTCACCCTCGGGTGAATGGGAACTTGAGAACCTTTTGGCTATTAAATGCGTTTTCTGGTGTTTCCTTGCAATATATATTGAGCACAATACCTCATTGTATTGACTTTAAACTTGGGATCTTCTTGAGGATATCTTGAGATGATTTCGGGGCTTTTTTTCGTGTCCCCGCGGCCCGGTCGTCGACCAGGCCTCCACCCCCAGGAAGCAGCCCGTGACAGCTGACTAACACCCAGGTACCTATTTTACTGCTAGGTTACAGGGGCATAGGGTGAAAGAAACTGCCCATTGTTTCTCGCCGGCGCCTGGGATCGAACTCAGGACCACAGGATCACAAGTACATAGCCTCCCCAGCTTGGTCCTTCTTTTGATAATTACTTACACCTAATACATAATTTTAATCTATTCAAAAATTCTTATATCTAATTACAAATGTAATTATTTTTATCATGAAACATTCCTTTCCATAGGCCTATTGCCATCGGTGCGTGATGGAAGAGCTAAAAAGAATTATTGATGATTCGGAAATAATGCAAGAAGATGATGCTCTTTGGCCACAGCCGGATCGCGTGGGAAGACAGGAGCTGGAGATTGTCATTGGTGATGAGCACATTTCATTTACAACCTCCAAGATTGGCTCGCTTGTGGATGTCAACAATTCAAAGTATGAAAATTATTGTAAACCGTTTTAATATATAGTATATGGAGAAAATAATTAAATTTAAACCAATGCTGAAGTGCGAGATTGTTGCATGATGTATGAATGATATTCATTTAGAGTTAAACTGAAATATGGAAAAGTGTACAAGTTTTATCCAAACTAATAAATATGTGTACATTGCTATCCCCAATTACCCAGACCATATCTTGAGGTTATCTTGAGATGATTTCGGGGCTTTTAGTGTCCCCGCGGCCCGGTCCTCGACCAGGCCTCCACCCCCAGGAAGCAGCCCGTGACAGCTGACTAACACCCAGGTGCCTATTTTACTGCTAGGTAACAGGGGGCATAGGGTGAAAGAAACTCTGCCCATTGTTTCTCGCCGGCGCCTGGGATCGAACCCGGGACCACAGGATCACAAGTCCAGCGTGCTGTCCGCTCGGCCGACCGGCTCCCCATTGGTGTCCCCAGGCAATAACTGAAGAAAAGATTGTGTGTCATCACTGGGACTAGTTCTGGCTGGCTCTGAGAAGCTTAGGGTATCTCTCCACACCAACACTGCTTAATTTATATAATAATATTCTATCTCTTAAATATTTGTTTTTATTGAACGTGAGATAATTTGGATCGGTTTATTTATTACGCAATTAATAATTGCGTAAAATCCTGGTTTGTGTCTAGGAGAGGCTGCGGGGTCCAAGTAAGGGCAGTAGAACTTCTGGTTGCATTTCTTTTCCATGTCGTAGTGCAGTCGATTAAGGCAGCATCTGGGATGCTCTCGGACGTAGGTTCGAACCCTTGTCACGGCCCTTGTGGATTTGTTCATTTAATACGTTACTCGTTGACCAGACCACACACTAGATGGTGAAGGGATGGCGACGTTTCGGTCCGTCCTGGACCATTCTCAAGTCGATTGTGGTGTGAACTCGAGAGGTGTGACTTGAGAATGGTCCAGGATGGACCAAAACGTCGTCGTCCCTTCACCTTCTAGTGTGTGGTCTGGTCAACATACTTCAGCCACGTTATTGTGACTCATCGTCTGAATACGTTACTCGTTCATTCCATAATTCATTTGATCTACAGCCATTGTCATTTATTCCTTGAACACCATTATTAGCTTTTATATTATTCTCAGGATCTATTCCCCAAAACAGTCATAGTAATCTATAATTCCCAGGTATAACACCAATCCCATTAAACACTCATTCTTTCGTCTGTCGTCACACGGTACATATGCAGTAACATATCCACCTTCTCTTTCAAAATTCAATTCAATCCCTTGAATTGCAATGAGGGACATTATTCACATTCCCATACCACTCTATCCAAGAACATGCATCTTCTCTTCTCATTTTCACTCATGTTCTTGCTGCAGTTACTCCATTCTACTTGATCATGAACTTAGAATAATGAACAGTCTCTAGAAACGTTTGCCAGGTCCAGCTTCTGATCTCGATTCATTCCTCTCATTCTACATTAATGTGTCGGCTTTCTGTGGCATGGGCAAGTACTGGCCCCAGATTGGAGGCTCTGTATGCCTTTGGGAGAAGATGTTCTAGGGAAGTGAGTCTCTGGCCTCTTCCCTATGCCTTTTTAATGCATGGGGATTTGAAGGTAAGAGTAATACAGTGGTGGGGAAAGTTTTCATTTAACATAAGTTGGAGTTGACATTATTAATAATAGCATGGCATAAGATGGAAAGAGTCGGTAAACTTTTATATATGTACTGTTTTCCATTTTTGTAATCTTTACTAAAAGTACAGTATGCTCCTTTTCTTCTGTGCATTTGAGATAAGCTAAATTAATAAAGAATTGCTTTTGAAATTGAAATAAGTTTAATGAGGTATAAATACACACAAAGGGATGAGGTAGCTCAAGCTAATCTCACCCCGTTCAGTACGTGTTCATATATATATACAGTATATACAGTATATACTGTACACACACACACACATCACAAACCATCAACATATTACCGAACATTCTGAGTGATAATCATACACATTTCTTCCTTTACACATGCAGTACGTTACTAAAGAATTGCTTTAATAGTGTTTGATGTTTTCTCTCTAGGGATCCTGATGGCCTGAGGTGTTTCTACTACCTGGTGCAAGATCTCAAGTGTCTTGTCTTCTCTTTGATTGGCCTCCACTTCAAGATCAAGCCCATTTAGATTGACATTTTATAACATAAGGATATGTACTATGCGGATTGTTTTGAATTATTATTTCGACAGTTCTGGAGAAATTCATTTCGGTAGTTCTCATGTGCCGTTTTGTAAATGTGAATTTTTGCGATTTTAAAAATATAGTCCCTGTTTGCAAAATTTGTTAAGTTAAAAATTGTCAGTGTGTTTTAAGCAATTTAAGATTTATATAAGTAATTCTTACATACAGTACTTCATATTAACAGATTTTACGTTATTAAACATTGACAAAGGAATAGCTTTATGAATTTCTCTGTATTAATGATGTAATATTGGCCTCCTCAGTGACCACGCACATCCTCGATCATTTGTACTTTGGAAATACCAGATTTAAAAGTCACGTCAGATCATTTATTCACCAGTTTATTGTATTTTAATATCACTCTGTCTGAAATCTTATCATAATTTTGTTTATGACCAAACCAATGTTGGACAGTATAATTTTGTTTTCATATTCGTATAAAGTGTATCTTGGCAAATCTGCCCAATACTTGAGTGAACGGTAATTTTTTAAAGACTGTAATAGCTGGGTTATGTTTCTTCATGGTTGCAAATATTGCCACTTGCATTCATTTTGTTAGTGTATTAGATACTAGTGGACTATACCACAGGGTTAGTAAACACCTAAAGGTCTTTTACCACAAGAATATTTTTTTCCTGTCACTTTTTTGTAGAAAATATATGTGCCTTATGTTGTAGGGTATTTATTTACTCCACTAAACTTTCCATGAGAATTTGTGTACAGTATGCAGGCGATGAGTCACAGTAACGTGGCTAAAAGTATCTTGACCAGACCACACACTAGAAGGTGAAGGGACGACGATGTTTGGGTCCATCCTGGACCATTTTCAAGTTGATTGAGAATCGACTTGAGAATGGTCCAGGACGGACCGAAACGTTGTTGTGTACAGTACAGTACTGTATATGGCCTAAACATTTTTCTCTATACATTTCCTGTATAAAATGTACTTTTGGTGAAAAGTACCTCTGCAACTTACTCATTCTCACTTATGCCGAGCTTTAGCCCCCCCCCCCCCTCAGGTGGGAATTGTTACGTGTCACCACTCTACTTTTTCTGTAAGGATGTTTCGCTTGCAAGCTTCTCTCTCGGTTTGTGTTTGCAATGTATGTCCTTGTGTCGTTTCATCATTGCCTCCATGGAGAGTCCCACTTGCAAAGTTTTGCCAGACCTTGATCCATGTGGTATATGCTTCTACCCCTCATACTGTTCTAAAATGCATTTTCCTTTAATACTTTTCTTTGCACTTACTTCATTGCCCTATTCACAGATTAGTCTAAGTTTTCTGATGGTGTTGGCTACACGGTAGTCTTTCCTGATCAAATTTGTGTGTTGCCTACCCTAATCTTGAGGCTATCTTGAGATGATTTCAGGGCTTTAGTGTCCCCGCGGCTCGGTCCTCGACCAGGCCTCCACCCCCCAGGAAGCAGCCCGTGACAGCTGACTAACTCCCAGGTACCTATTTTACTGTTAGGTAACAGGGACATAGGGTGAAAGGAACTCTGCCCATTGTTTCTCGCCGGCGCCCGGGATCGAACCCGCGACCACAGGATCACGAGTCCAGCGTGCTGTCCGCTCGGCTGACCGACCGGCTCTTAAGAGATTAGCATTTTTACGGCTGAAGTGTATGCAGTTTTGTTTGCTCTTTGTCAACTGGTTTTCCAACATCAAAATGTCTTTTGTTATTGTGGTCAACTCTTGTAGTGGTTTCCATGGCTCTGTAGTCATTTAAATCTATGCATCTTCTGGGAGTTGAAACCTAATACTGTATTGGCCATTTCTTGTCTTGAGCAGATTTAAGACACTTGAGTATTGCTGCGTTCCCAGTCATATTGGTACCATATTTCCTTAATTGTCTGTGTGGATGCTGCCTCTAAGAAGGCTATCTGCACTTGTCCTATTTCCCAAAAAAAGCATTCCTTATTCAAATTTGTACCTAGTCATTCTTCAATCCGTGACTGTCGGCAGAGTCGTTAGTTTGCGGTTACAGGCAACGAATTGTGTGCTCTTAGAGTAGCCTGTCCTCTTCGCCTTCCTCCTACCACTGTAACTGGCGGTGGGTAACAACTGTGGCGAAGTTACATATTGGCCATTCACATTTATCTCATGGGCACTTAAACATTCAGATAGCTCTTGTAAGCTTGGTTTACACTCACATGCGATCAGGCTGTCTGATTTACTGCAGGGGTTGACGGTGGTCTGTTTCCATGTTTTATATATATATATATATGTATTTTAATGCTGGTTGGCCGAGTGGACAGCACGCTGGACTTGTAATCCTGTGGTCCCGGGTTCGCTCCTGGGCGCCAGCAAGAAACAATTGGCAGAGTTTCTTTCATCCTATGCCCCTGTTACCTAGCAGTAAAATAGGTACCTGGGTGTTAGTCAGCTGTCATGGGCTGCTTCCTGGGGGTGGAGGCCTGGTCGAGGACCAGGCCGCGGGGATGCTAAAGCCCTGAGATCATCTCAAGATAATGGTAAGGATAATTATTTAGGTGATCAGTCATTATAGTGTGAACCTTACATCTCGGGATATCTCCAGCAGATTTAAGACGGTGATGTTTTGCTGGGTTCCCAGCCATATTGGCGTCCGTACATGAGCGTGCGGACGCTGCCACTAAGGTGGTTACGCATTGGTCATACACATTTAACTTGCGAACACTTAATGGAGCGCCGCTCTGCTCTTTGTCCAAACTGCATTGTCCCTCTTACGGTCATGCATATCTTTGTTGAATGTCCTGACTTCCAGGACGAGCGTGTCTTTCTTCCTGACCGTGCCTCGTGGTCACTTGTCCCTTGATAGAATTCTTGGTGAATCGGATACCTTTAATATCAATCACCTTGTGCAATTTTGTTCTCGTATTGGCATCCTTGGTGATATTTAGCGACCTCTGAATATCCCGCACATTTGATGGTGCTACATAGCCTTCCTGGCTTGGTGCTTTCTTTTGATAATTACTTATGTACTTACATCTCATGACGTTTCTAAAGGGCAGCTCCATTACCAAATAGTGTCCTTTGGTGTTACAAAATGGTTACTGTTACAATATCACATGCCTTATGTGCTTTTCTCATATTGGCATCTTTAGTGCTATTTTGCGCCTTTTGAATATCCTACACCTTCGATAGTGCTACATAGTCTCCCCGGCTTGGCGCCTTCTTTTGATAATTATTCGCAGCCGTACACCTCCTTGTAGAATGTCCCGATTTTCAGGACGATCACGTGTCTTGCTTTTCTAATGTTCCTCAAAGTCTTTTGTCTATCGATAGACTCCTTGGTGAATATGATACCTTTGACAGCACTCTCCTTATGTGCCTTTGTTCTTGTATTGGCATCCTCGGGGATATTTAGTGCCTTTTGAATAGCAACACTGATGGTGTTCTGTAGTCTCCCCAGCTTGGTGCCTTCCTTTGATGATCCACATCAAAAAATGTTTAAAATAAACAAGAAATGTTTGCCTTAACATTGTCTACTTTTTTTGTGATGTTTTACTGTTGAAAAATGTGCCTTTATCTGCCCAAATATCATAAATGAGAACTACATAAATGAAAAGGACCAAAACATTGTAAGAAACATTCACTAGTTTTTATTTAAATTTGAAATAATAAAAAAGTTAGATACAAATTTTGAATACAAAATATTGCACGAAACTCGTAATTTTCAAGTGGTTTCCTGTATCTTCATATACATTTTTTTATACTTTTTATTTACAAGGTTTATCAAATTGAAGTTTAAAGTATATACAGTATTACACAAATTTTATAAATTGAACGTACAGAAATCACATTCCAGTGAATAAAAATACAATACTACTGTATTATTGGCAGATGCTAGACACGTTATCTTCATCATCAGACAGATGTTCAATCAATGTCTTCATAATTTGTATATGGTGGCCCTTGGCAGTCTTGACTCAGGCACAGCATTTCAATCCCAATCTCTCATTCATATCTATTGGTAGAGTTGGATTTACCAGTCCACAAGATGAAGTTTTTTTTTTTTTATTATTTTCTACCACAGACGTGGCCACACATTAGTGATGAAGAGGGTGAAAGGGAACGCAGCCTACTGGAAGGGCAACACCCAAAGCTCTGCAAAAGCAGTGTGTAATGTAGCGAAAGCAGTAATAACCCGATGATCCTGTAGCAACAGGAACCCAGTTTCAGCATACAATCTCTGGGTAGAGCGTCAAGATGACGGAGGGTTGAAGGAGAGGAAGAGGAGTAAGCAGGCCAGCTGTAATCCAGTTTTAGACAGCACGATTGAGAAGTGCAAATAAAGGAACATGTGTCTTATCAGTTCCACAGCTAGTACGAGACGACTTTAAGGTAAGGGCTTTAAAGCATAGGACTGAAGCAAGAGGTGACCAGACAAACAAATGTCGAAGATCCACCCACAGAAGTTCAGCAAAATCTTTACACAAAAGGGGACTACCATAAAGTGACAAAGGGGAAGAAAGGATGACCTACTTTTGACTAAAAGTCATAGTACAAGTCTTAAACATAGGAAAGTTAAAGGCATGATTGGTGGCCCAGGATGATACGGCATCGATCACAAGTTGGAACTGGCTTTGGAGAAAAGTGAGTTCATCCCCGTGACAGCAGAGATTGTCAATGCAAAGAGCCGAGAAAATTCCAGAGGGATAGGAGGAAGACCATAAAAGGCTTCAAGGAAAAGAACAGTGCCGAGAACACTGCCCTGGGAACACCTTTGTATTGGTGAAAAAAAAAGTCAAAGGTGGTGATACAAGTCTCAACTTTGAGAGAGGAAGCTATGAAGGAAGAGCAGGAGATTGCCATGAAGGCCGTAATAAAATATTGCATCTGGGATAAAATATTTTATTCAATATTGAATAATATTTTACTTAGGACCAATCCAACACTTGGTGGTTATGAATGTACATGCAAAGCAAAGCTGGAGGAGGCAGGGACAAAGAAGCTTACCGCAAGTTCCAAACTAGGCCCAGCCAAGTCTGAACCTTGGATGGAACCAACTGGGACTTCCCTCCAGTTCACCACGAACCCAAAGCTGGCAAATCGGGAAAGAACCAGATCCCAGACCAGCTGACATGGGGACTGTCTGGGGTCCTACACCAACCAGTCACTGAGGTAGGCCAACACAAAGCATGTGCAGCCAGGCCACAATGACCCGTGTCAACTTAGTAAATACATGGGGAGGCAGGTGGGCGGGGGGGGTGGGTTGAAGGTGACAGGGAGAACCTTGCCCCCAGACAGGTCAGGGGGACATACACACAGGTCTGACAACGGTCCCCAGACAGGTAAGGGGGACACACACACACAGGTCTGACAACGATCCCCAGACAGGTAAGGGGGACACACACACAGGTCTGACAACGGTCCCCAGACTGGTAAGGGGGAACACACACAGGTCTGACAACGGTCCCCAGACTGGTAAGGGGGACACACACACAGGTCTGACAACGGTCCCCAGACTGGTAAGGGGGACACACACACAGGTCTGACAACGGTCCCCAGACTGGTAAGGGGGAACACACACAGGTCTGACAACGGTCCCCAGACTGGTAAGGGGGACACACACACAGGTCTGACAACGGTCCCCAGACTGGTAAGGGGGACACACACACAGGTCTGACAACGGTCCCCAGACAGGTAAGTGGGACACACACACAGGTCTGACAACGGTCCCCAGACAGGT